ATGTCGCTCTGGTTTTTGGAGCCGGCAATGGTGGTGCACTTCCATCGTTGTTTGAGCAAGTTGTGTCGTGCGATTTTGGGCGCAGCGCGTGTGTATATGGCGCGGCAGCAGAGTGCAAAGGCTTCGAAGCCGGATGGAAGACTGTGGCCGATGATCTCGTCGATAATATCAGCGGGGAGATCAAGAAGCTGCATGGTCGACAGCGTATGATGTTCGAATGACAGCAGAAGTGAGCGAGCGCGTGCTCGCAATGAGAATCACTAAGCTTTATCTTAGTTTCGTAGAGCCTTCAGGTTGCCTAACATTGCCCCACACTGGTCGGAGTTGCTGCCTGCAAGTGGCATTGCGCACGTTTCGACGCGTGAACAGGCCCGTGGTAAAGAGAGGGGACGGAGAATAGTACATGGTGAACCGAAGTAACCTGCGTCGCCTTCGAAGTAAAAGAGTCTCTATAATGCGTAAAGATATTGAAGAAGTGAGGACTTGGAGGCTCGTCAAGCCACGCGCCGACAAGGTGATCCCTGCTGCATCGCTCTCTATTGACAACACCTTCAAATTATAGAGTGTACAGTACGGAGCATAACCCTCGTACAACGATGGATGAGACAAACCGTCGTTCCGCGCTTTCTGATAGGTGACAGCGTTTCTGCGGCCAAGATCTCTCCCGAGACCCTGTACGATTACACACCCAAAGAGAAGGACTATTTACGAACTTCCTTCGTTTCATGCATGGCCAGGTTTACCCTATATATTGAGCAAGCTATACACTCACTGAGTCTTGCGTGCTGTATTGAGCGTCTTCCTTCTTTGCTTGATCATGTACGTGTACATTGTATAAGAGCCTAAGGGAAATTAGATTCATGAGGTAAATTTACTTGACGACAATCCATACCTGGGATGTAGAGCAGCAGGCAGAAGTAGAAGATGAGCGGTATCACCGGGCTGATCTTGGCTCCTGGAGCAATAGCTTGGTACAGTAACCACCATTCAGCCCCGATACCGATCGGGTAGAGAGGATAGAACATGGTGTAGCTGGGGTAATTAGCCATGTTTGGAGCAGCTTCTGATATCACAACAAGACATACCGAAGCCAGATCATGCCTTTCGACGCCTTCCCGTGCATGTTAAGCGCCAAGTACAAGTACCGAATCGTATCTGCCACCGACCAAGCAAGCAATAACGCAAGGTAAGCACGTGAATCTGCTGTGCTTTGCGGGAAGCTGTACCACACCATCCAGACCTGGATGACACGAGTAACGACTTGTAAAGCGGTTGTGCTGACTGGAGATTTGATAATACCTATCATCATGCTTAACAAGAGGCACAAGAAAAAGGGGGATAGTGAACGAACCGAAAGCCGCATGGAAAACTTCTATCAAAGACGCGGTTTGTATCCATCGCGCATATGGTTCCGTCGCATCGAAGAGTTCAAATTTATCATTTTGGACATTTGAGATGGCTCGGACAAAGACAGACGCCCATAGCGATGCGAAGAGGACGTTATAGGCAGTCAGATAGATTGTTCGGGGTTGCGATGCTACTGCGTCAGCAGTACATTCTCTACTTTGGTTAGCCATTCTCGCTCCTAAACCTCGATGTTTAGTCAATGTGGTTTGGAAGCATATGAGAACACATTGCGCAAGCAGAGATTGCTGTGGTTTCCGTCGGGCAGTAGGTCGAAAGTGGGTGATGAGCCGAGGCTAATTCGGTGTAATTCCATCGTTGAAGAGCACGCATCTTGTGCACATCCTTTTCAGGTCTCAGAGCACCCGTTCAACGAGCTACCACAGATGCGATCTGTCAGCTTTCGCGTCCTTCCTGATTCTTGGGCAGAAACGAAGATCACGTTCGAAACATAGTGCAGGGGCAGTGACCAATCGAAGTCGCGACATCACTCCCCGGGGGCGCGAAAGTCTATACCATTTCTCGCTCTTAGCCATGCATAAGGCGGGGCAGCTTGGTTGGTCCCTGCGAGACGCTAAGCTTCGCTCGATCCACTGCCGATCGCCCAAGTAGGTTCTCTTGGATTATACATCGTCATCAGCACCACACTTCACATGGCTGATATCCCAGATAACAATTCTTGGTCGGTTTTCACTGCTTCACAACTAGCAATATCCCACACATTAGGATTGAACTAGAAAACTCAATGAATGGGATCATAATTCCTTTGATGATAAGCCAGTCCCGAAGCCGACGCACGACATCCTTTTGCACGACAAAAACTTCCTCAAACTCTTGATGACAGTATACAAAGTTTTACTAGAAAGCCTCAAGATGTTCTCGGACCTACCTTGCGGAAGATGAGACGCGAAGGGATTCTTGTTTGATCAAACTGGGAAGATACCATCGCGCGACTGCCATCAAACTTCCATCTCCCGCTCCGCTCCATTTGTCCAATTTCTATGCTGACTGGAAGATAGATATTTGGAAGCTAATACAGATGGCTAACGAAGACTGACCAGTCGATGAGTTCGAAAAGATTTTTTATGACACGAGCGTACGGGTCGTGAGAGACAGGATCATGATAGAAAACAGTAGCGGCATGAATCGCCAATCCTTGGACCAAGCCGTGATAGTCACGCGGGGAATGCCTGGTGTTCAGGAACAATGCGACGAGATCTGTGAATCCTGCTTGAGACTCAACGGAAAGAGAGCATACCTACGCTTCCGGAGGGGATGCCATGCCCGACGTCAGAGCGGAAGACATCTATTTTGATAAGGATTAATCAAGATTTGATTAGGTGTAACACGGAAAAAGGGCTACAGATAAGTATCCGAGGCCGAGCTCTACAGTTGAGAACTGTCATTTGCTTCTAGTCAATTTTGCGTCCTGAGCACATGTATGATTCTAAGGATGCGGAGCATGCATCCAGTCCATTATTGCTGGAGCCAATCTTCTATTTTGGAATCTTACTGCGTCTAAAATTATGCTGAGACTTTCTTGCGAATTTAATTTAATAAGTCAAAGCTCCGTTGTTGAAGATTTTCTAGATGAGCTATGCCTTGCTTCTTGTCGATATGTCACACTAGCTAGGGGTCGCTCATCACCACTCAATGACGACGCGTCATCACGACCTCCATTTGTATGCGTCGCAATGACGTTGCTGTGGACGTCGTAGTCATTCTTGAGGCGCCTGAAATCCTGATTGCGTTTGCTCCCCGTGCCGCCAATGGTAACAAGCTCCGTCTTATGCGACCGCCCTCCCGTAGCCGACCCTTGTCCAGATCTGTTCCGAGTGCTGCTGAATTGCGACGAAACAAGGAGCATGAGCGGACGCATCGTAGGTAGGCATGCGCTTATGATTCCAGTTGCAACTTCTACGACACACCAAGTGCACGCTGTTGCTAAAGTTCCCGTTGTGTCGGCCATGTCAAATTGCATGATTGTCGTAAAGCGATATATGCTAGCGAAGAGCACACTGCGAACCACAGTCAGTAATGAGTAAATCCAGATCAAGAAGGAAAGTACTAACAATGCTCCGAGCAAGAACATGAAGATCAGCGATGCGCGTTGAGCGTTTGACACTTGGAGCCTCAACACCTGAGTGACAGGCATGCATAAGATAATAATATCTGTCAAGATATTGGGCACGGCATTACCAATGAATGAAGCCTTGAGGTTGATGCATGTACCGGCAACTGCAGGGCCCAACCAGGCTTTTTCGATAGGATTGCACTGGAAGATGCTGACGCAGTTGATGGCTATGACCCAACCAATCGTCACGGATCCTAAGATGTATGCGCCGATTCGAAAGTCCTTGGTCGGAAATATGCGCAAGTACATCAGGAGGAGTGAGAGCTTGACCAGCCCTACCCCAGTGCAGTAGATACACTCGAAGGCAACGAGAAGCTATGAAGATCTACGTTAACGGGCTTTCCACCTCACTGAGCCTTCAGGTATGGAACACTAACCTTTAGCACCATCGTGACATTATCGGGGGGCAGAGTGACAGCATGCCTTCCCAATCCCCAGTTAATCACTGGAGAGATGTTAAAGTGCCAAGCAGACTATGACAAGTGTAAAACCTACTGGCATAGTTGAGTCCTCCGGCAACGAAGCAAAAAACCTTGCACGAAGTAAGTTGTCTGAAGCGGACGCCAGAGATGCAAGGGCACATACTAATGAGACTACTATCATCCAGTCGTCTGATCCATAGGTCAGCCCACGCTTATAGCGAGCGGCAAAGCGTAGTACCACGAATATAAACGCAAGAACCAGCAATGCGGTAGTCGTGCCTCGTAGGTTGGGGCCTGGATCTGACATTTCCGAGTTCATTCGAGATTGAAGCATGCCTTCAAAACTTGGAACATGTCGTATCGCAGACGGGAAATGCATTGAATTGCTTCACTGTATATGTGAAAGTGAGAGAAGCTAAGTCGGCAATACGTGAACCCAGATCGGGGGCCTCGAGTGCAGAAAAGGAATCATATGCATAAAAAGAACCATGATGAGGTGCCCAATCATAGTGACATGTGGGGCTGTTCGGGTGGAGGAATCTCCTGTTATGGCCTGACTCCTGATGATCTTCGCCTAACAAAGCCACACCTGGCGCAGGTGTACGTATCCTAGCAAAACGCCTTCCGTCAAGTACGCACTATCGTCGGAGTTTGAGTGATCTTGGGATCTTTCAGCTGCAATAAGCACGGGTAGAAAAAGCACTCACTCGGAGGTTATGGAGCTATAATCAAGAACATCTAGGTGCTTACACTACTCATTCTTACTTTTCTGATGTCTTCTAACAGAGGTTTACGAGAAACTGGAATTAATGCCCGAAGTAAAGCCCCTCCAAACTAGTCTCAGACGCGTCTAGACTTCTGCTCTTCGGGCCGTTCCCTAACGCCTGGGACTGTGCCGTGGAGATCAGTCCTATCTAGGTAAGCTCGAAAGTTTGATAAGCCATTGCATTCCGTCCTGTGCATGTCTGCAGCCTCATCACCTCTTGTCAATTGAATCTCGTTGCGTTCTCCCTCAGTTCCATATCAACAGCACCGTCAACATGTCCAAGCCTATCATCGTGTTTGCTCCGGGTGCCTGGCACACGCCTGACTGCTTCGACATCACCCGCGATCAACTGCACCAGCGCGGATGGGAAACCGAGGCTGTAGCGTACCCCTCCGTTGGAGCGGAGCCTCCCAACAAAGGCCTTGCAGATGACGCCGCGGCACTGCGTTCTACCTTAGAAAAGATTGCTGATGAAGGCAAAGAAATTGTCCTGGTTGTGCACTCATACGGAGGTTTGGTCGGACAAAATGCTCTCATGGGCCTGGGGTTGAAGCAGCGGCAGGCCATGGGTAAAAAAGGTGGTGTCACCATCTTTGTTTACCTTGCTGCTTTCGTCGCTCCGAAGGGGGCAAGTATTAAGGCTATGCTTGGTGGCCAATTCCTACCCTGGATGAAGTTCGATGTTCGTGCCTACGATAGATGAGTTCTCTTAGTTTCTACATAGCAAGACTAACAATCAGAGCCAGGGTGATTACGGTTACGCCGCTACGCCCGAAACCGTGTTTTATCACGATCTCAGCGAGGAGGCACAAAAGACAGCCATAGCTAAACTGAAACATCAATCAGCGCGCATCTTCACCGACGAGGTGACCTACGAGCCGTGGCACGAGATTCCGACCATGTACTTCTTCTGCGAGGGAGACAAAGCACTTCCGCTACCTATCCAGCAGCAGATGGCACAAATGCTAGGTGCGGATGCGCCGACCTTCAAATCAGTCGGTTCGCATTCGCCTTTTCTGAGCCAACCTCAAGAGGTTGTTGAGGGTCTGGAGTTTGCGGCTAAGGTTGGTGAAAGTAAGAAGTAGAAATCTCTAGTCTACAAATCCATTTCCACAGAAGAGTAACGCCCATGAGGTTTCAACCCATATTAGAGGATGTCCGTGCACGTACTGCGCTTTTCTCGCTTCTGGTAAGCGCCGCCGCTTGAATCCAGGCTGTGCAAGCAAACTTCCAACTTACCCCCAGGTGTCATTCATCTGTGTTTTCTCAAAGCCCATACAACTTCGCCTTCAATAATTTCCACGAATATGTCGCTCGAAACTCACGCCAACTCATCAACAGAACGAAACATCGACGCTTTGACGCATGCTTTAGTGCTCGTACCACCGGATCAAAAAGCTTGCCCCGTTTGCTTTGAGCCCTGGAACACCAGGATCGGATGCGAGTTTGGAACCATTGTTCAAACCCAGTGCGAACATGTCTTCCACCGCGCGTGTCTAGGGGCATGGTTTCACAAGCAAGATATAGAGGCAAAGGAGAATACTTGTCCGTGCTGCCGCACCATATGCTTCCCTATTCTTCGTCAGCCTGCGTACGAACAACAACACTTGCTTAGACGCAACCGGAATCCTGGAGACATGGTCGCCCCACAAAGCTCGAACGCGTCTAATACAGGCTCCACGCTAGCGACTCCAGAAGAGATTTGTAGACGATTACAAATTTCAATGGAAGAAATTGATGCCCAGTATGCGCAGATATGTACAATGGGTCGTTCGCGGATGAATATGGTGACCGATCAAATCATGATAAACAGAGTAAAGCTAGATAGAATACGATGATCCTTCAACGGTATAAGCCTGGTAGATTGGACATTTCTTATGTTTTTGCCACTTATTTATATATCTGAGAGTCCTCCACTTGATCAATACCATGTTCGATATGCTCCACGAAGCTATGAGTTCGTGAGGTCGTCGCAACAGATGTTTTCAAGGTCTACAGCCGACCAAGCATGCCTTATGTGCTTCATGAAGCTATGAGTACATGAAGCGGGTACGTATTGGCCTACTGAAACTGGGCCGGTCATCCTAAGGTCAACCAGCGATACCTTGAGTCTTTACGCTTTCTTACCAGACCCCTGGACGTTGATTCTGCTATCACCTGCACCTGGAGATGCAATTTCAGCGGCTCCTCTGACCTTGATGCCCCAGCCCTGACCTACACCACCACTGCCACTCTGCTGGCGGTCGTTCTGGCGTACCTTCCCGCGACCAATACCACCGTGCGTTCGACTGTCACCACGTCCGCGACGACGATCATGACCTCCGTCATGCTGCTGGTTGCCAGCGTCATCTGATCTGAGAAAGCCCTGTTGAGGATGGTATATGGCTTGGGCAGGAACGTACCGGCCCTGCGAAGAGTTATACCCGCCCAGAGAAGGAATGAACTGGACTGGTGGAGGAGCGAAGCCAGGCGTCGCTTGCCATTGTTGCGGCTGAAGTTGCTGCTGGTTAAGGTACGTAGGCGTTTGATAATTGCGGCGAAAACGCTGAGCTTGAATGCCTGTGTCTGCATCGTCGGCACCACGACTACGCTTGTTGCTCTTTGGACCTGTAGGAGCGTTTGGTGGTGGAGCACTAGCCGCTGATGCTTCCCGGGATGCGCGATTGATCGCAGCACGCTCCGCAATATCTGCCGCAGAAGCCTCGCAAACTATTGGCCCATTAGGAACCTGGAACTTCGACAATTCCTCTTTTTTGATAGGCGGATCATCATCCATATGCAAAAAAGAACACTTGAATGTGTTAGGGCAGTCCTTGCGCACCGTCCCAAAAGGACACATCTGACCTTCATGCTCGTGGGTATATATGCATCTCGAGCCCTTACTGCAACCCATGTTGGTGTTCACAAAAGAGCACATCTTCTTCGGAGGAGGCTGACTGTGGTCAAACATGCAGGTTGCTTGCTTCTTGCAATCAACACCGAATCTGCATGCGATGACGGTGGAGGGTGTAGCAGAGTTACAAGTCCGCGTAGAGGGAGTTTCTCCTGACTTGGAAGCAAAAGCAGTGTTGACAGCAAACTTTGGGCGTGGTTCAGTAGTCGGAAGAACGGTGTCTCCAGCACCATCAGCAAAATCGATCTCCTTATCGAAATTTGCTTCCAGAAATTTAACCGTAACTTCGATAGTGATCCCGTCGACCGTTATATGACGAGTTTCTGTCGTTCCAACCGCAGCTACACCAACCCACATCGCGAGGTCGGCGAACTGAAGGCTGGTTTCAATCCCTTTGAAGATTATGTTCCTCCCCTCAGCAGAGTACGCCTCGTTGCTTTCTTGCCTCTTGATTGCCTCCTCTTCTTTCGACTTCTTCTTATATGCGCCTTCTACCACCTTGACTTTGGTGTCAGAGTCGTCCTTTTCAGCAACTTTCTTCTCCCGGTCCACATTATTCTTAGTGAGCTTCGAAACAGACTCTACAATCTCTTCACTGAGCTTATTACAAAGTAGTGGTTCTTCGCCGACGAGCTTTCCGATCTCGACCTGTTCGATGTCCTCACTACCAACCAGTGTGATATCAGCTTCGTCGCCGGTGATGATCTCAATATCGTACTCAGACGCAGCTTCACTCTCAGGGAAAGTATTCTGTGCAGCTTCACCGCCGTCTACGGTCTCGCACTCATCATCGGACCAGTCGACGTCATCCTCGTGTTTCTCTTTTTGAACCGTGGTGTTAGGATTGGTCGTGCTAGCGATGGGTACGATGGCTTGCTCTGCCTCGACAGATACCTCAACTGAAACAACGGCTTCGGATTTCTCAGAAACACCAGGCTGAGGTGCGAAAGCCGCATGGTCCTCCTTGATGATAGGCGGTTCCTTGGTTTTGGTACGCTTGTCGCCCTGGGCTGTGACTTGTTCGGAGCGGGTACGCTTTTTGCCGGCCATGGTATTGGGTGAAGACTTCGAAGGGTGAACGTGGGGTATGAAGCGGTTTCCGAAGCTGAATTGTGTGGTCTGGTTGAAACCGTTGGATGTAAAGTGAATAGTATGAATCTTCTCGATCCTGCAAGGGCTTTGGTGCAAACCTGAAGAGGGAATGTCAAGTAGTCGGTCTGTTAGAAGGGTTGCAAGCGGATGACAACTCGAGCTTCCAGAAATTGACTCGCTGCGAGCAGGAGGAAGTATGTGAGAGCTTATTAACCAGAAGATTTGTATCGCAAAGGTGCGATGAAAGCGCATACGACATCAGTGAAAGATGCACAGGCTCAGTAGTTCAGGTCCATGTGATGCACAAAGCGACCGAACACGATGGCCAAGCATTTTTCACTGTCCGTAATTTTGACGATTAGGCTTCTGGCGACGCCTTAGAGACAATGGCGCTTTTAGTCGTTGAGAGGTTGCTTTGTAGGTATTTTCGCGTCAAAGAAACGCCTCAATAAGGAGATTGCAACACATTCCTGCACTGTGTTTACTGTTTTTACAAATACTGCCGCGCCCGCAAGAGTCGACCTTAAACGCGGACAAATCGTTGCGTTGTGCAATTTAAACGTTGCTTACTCTTTAGCTCTAATTATCAGAGAGCATATAGTCCGCGTACGGACTTCGAGCATATAGTTGCATAACACTGTATTCTTTTTGTGATAGTATAACTAATGAGTGTGATGAGAGAATCTTGTGAGCTTCTCTACCTCCTCTCCTTATCTCCAACTACCTTCTGCCTGCTTTCGCCGCGCAAGCGCTTTTACATACCCATCTTCCGATCTGCGGCGTGCTCTTCTCGACCTCAAATAGAGAAGTCCTTCGTCTTCACCCACTCTTCGAAACCGGGGACATTGGAGTACAGCGCGCGCTTATGACGCGAGAGCGCAAACCTTCCTGGCGAAGGATCTGTAACAGGGGTGTTGCAGATTCCAGTACCTCGCTGCTCGGGAGGTACAATGACAGTGCTGAGCGTACCTGGATAACCGGGGTTTCCGTAGACCTCAGTAGAACATGCGCTAACACGGCTGGAGGCAGTGGTTCCTTCGTTGATGGTGGTGCGAACAGCTTCCGACTCATCATTAGGAGAACAGCCTGGTGCAGTGCCAGAAAAATACATGCCGATGGCACCAGTGGCTATGCCCGTTGGGAAGTTGGCGATGTACGGGTTGTTGAGGAAGCGCCAGATAGACTGCGCTGCAGGTTTGGCAGCGTTAACCATGTTGACTACGGCTTCTGTTTGCGCGGGAAAGTAGAAGTTGGCCAAAATAGGGAAGCCGTAGACACAGTCTCGAACCCTGCGGCAGATGTCGCGTTGACGTGGTACGAGCTCTGCTAGCTCACTCGACTGAACAGGACTGAAGCCCGGTTCGTCTCGAGCATCAGCCACGATGGCACGTTCTTGCGGGGTTGACGAGGGATGCTTGAGATCGTATTCTGTGAAGTTGAAAGGATAGTCTCGGCTAAACTCGAGAGGCGCAAAGCTGGCCACACGAACCTCACCTGCCCAATCCTCAGGTTTAACACCAGAGAAGGCATCGAGGGCGATCTGTTTCCAGCGCCAGAGTTCACCGTCAAGCTCGAAGAAGTCGCCGTGAGTAATGCCCAGGGCAGACTTTGGCTCCGCTGGTGCCTCTTCTTGAACGTCTCTGCGCTTGAATTCACCGCTGATGACGTTGTAACCGCCGAAGAACTGATCGTCTTGGTAGACGTTGACACAACCCGTATTGCCAGCCGAAATGGAGTCGCCGGGTCTGCAGTCAACGTCGCGGGGGTAGAAGGCGACAATAGAGTTAGGGTCGTCACCGACTTCTTTAATAATGTTGACAGAGTTAGTATTACCCCCTAGGTACTCCGCGTCATAGCAGGTACCGTCTTGATCGGCTTGTCGGGTTTCGAGCCTCTCGCCATTGCAGTCGAAGCCTGCGTAGAACGTGAGCTGATACGCACTGGCGAGGGGCAGTAGTGTAGCTGCCAGGAGTGTGGTTGTATGTTTGTTGAACATGTTGAGCAGTGATGTAGTCGGTAGGTGTGAACAAGCTCGTTGATGTGATGCTTCGTTTGCTTGAGGCCTAACCGTCTTTTATGTCCTTCATCGGACTCCAATGGTGCGACAACGTCCCGGGCTCATGGTCCTCGGACTATGCCATGCGAATATGCCCTCCAGTTGCCGGTAACCGATGCTAACGACCACTGACGTGAAAGTAACAGGTTAACCCAGTGTTGGATGACAGCACACATCGCATGTATGATGAGATCATGACAACAGCGTCGTGTTCGCAGCTGCCATATTCGGCCCCGTGGTGGTTTTAGATCGCATGACGATGAAGATATTGCAGCAAACCCAACCCTTCGGTAACATGGGTGGAGAGGGAAGTGCAGAACCTCGACGCATTTGGAGCCGCCATCCTTCAGGCTGCAGGGGCTTGTTGGTAATAGTGTCAAACCGACAACCAGCTGGTACGCTTTACCACCTGCGGTGTTTTTGGGCCAGTGGTTGTGAGAAGTTGAGGATGGGTATCCAGGTATCCCGTACTGGCCTTTTTGCCAGCCCTGCCGCCTCAGTCGAACAACTGCGGAACTTTGTGAGAATGCATCATGTGAAAGACTTTCCAATAGTGGCCACGACTTGACTTGCTAGGTTCCTTCACGCTTCTACTCGCCAGATTTAAACATAAATGGAGGGTGTCTGGGACTATATGAAGATCAGCTTGACGGCCGATTTCGACACTTAGCGACCCGTGACGCAGTACTCAAAGGTCGGGCGCTGATAGCTAATGAATAGAGTCGCGCGACAGGCAAGAGCGTACAGCTTTCACAGAGCTTTCGCGGTCGTCTAGAGACTGTACAGCGCCTCAACCGACCCACCTAACAAGCTTCTTATTGGCTGGCTATAATACGAGTTTACACATGGAGTAGAGGAGATGAACCGATGCACACGGCGCGTAAGTGGATACCGGGCGTAGGTGGATCTCGGGTGTAAGTAGATGCAGGAGAAACGCATACCCATAGGGTGCTATGTAACCGCGGTGCAGTAGTAAGCCAACTGTAACATCGCGTGGATCCTGCAGCGATAGTTTAGATGGCGCGCAGTCGACATCGGCCTTGGTCGTTCAATGAGTGCAACTCACGATGCGACGATGCGTCGCTCTTTCACGACGGCACAACAGCAATGGATGCCATCCGAGTTCTTTGATGGAGATTGGTCTACCTTTTCGTTGCTAAGCTGGCGTATAGCTCGTTGTTCCGGGTCCTGAGCATGGAATGTCTCCAACATCGCTGTGTCCTAGGAGGTACTGCCTGACTCCGGCTAACCGGATCTTCCCGAGAAGGTTCGGCTGCGTTCGCCGATCTAAGCTTGATCAAAGCACACGCCGTTTCTTCGCATGCTTGGGAGGTCGCCTTATCAACAAACTAATGGAAGATGACTTGAAACGTGGGTATCCAACAGCCGCATCGAGTGGGCACAATAATGTGGTAGTGGAGAATTGCGCCGCCTTGAAGATCAGGACCAATAGGAGAAAGTCATTCGGTGGGTTTGGGGCCAAACCGGATATATCGGTTCCTTCGTAATGTGGCCGGGATGGCAACCTGACCTTAGTACCGCGGCGTGGGTGAGGAGTATCGATAATCTTCGCACAAACGAAATCCCTTCTCTCTTCTCATCCGAAACATTGCGAGTGCCATACAAAGGCAACGCCCTGTTCATCGAGAACTCCACCGACTTCACATTATCTCCCTCCCTTTCAACTTCCGATCAAGTACCTACCAAAATGACCAAAGACAAGACCCTCCAACTCGGAGACCTTAGCCCGCGCAATAGAAACAACGTAGGCTCCGCAACTCATGGCGCGATCAACGGCAAGGAGACCGCACTGAGAGATGACGTCGATGGAATGGGGTTGCGAAATGCGCGACTGACGCTGTGGGCCAAACGTTTCGTAGGATTTCTGGTGGGACTGGCTTTTGCATTCTTGTATGATAGACTAGTAGGCTTTCCTCGGCGGCCTTGTCCTTCTTGCGAGACCTCGGGTTGTTGAAGTTATCTCATGAGGATTGTTAAGAATCGGGGCGAGGATCGCGGAAGTTGAAGGTAGCTTGTCGCCGCCTCGCGGCATCGCCAAGTGGAAACATGTACAGTACTGTCTGTTATCGCATTAACAATCGCGGCTGCGTGTTAACGCAGGCGGCACGTTCGGCATGATACATAGAGCGTCAGTCTTGTGATTGGTGATGTTTTGCTTAGGGATTATACATTTTTACAGTGCCTAGAATGTGAAGCATACCATTCTATTGATACTTTCTTTTTCTTGTAGTATTATGACGCTATAGCAGGGAATAATTCGTCGTCGGCCATTGACGGTCGCTGGCAGGCAGACGGGAGTAAACAGTTGAGTATCGTGTCGCGTCGCGCGCAGCATGCACATGCAACACCTGCGAGCGTGCGCTTGCCATGGAAGTAGCTAGAAAAGCGTCGCAGTATCCAAATCGCGCATTTCTCTCGTGCTGAGCACTGAATCTGGTTGATGAGTTCTGTACATGGAAAGGTGTGAAAGGTGTCAAATCTTCGATGCAGGTCTATGAGTGTCAGCGTTTCAAGGTTCGCTCGAGTCATGCCCACACGCTAATCGCGCCCTTTGCCTGACATACGTATCAGTACAGTGAACGGCAATATAAGAATCGTAGCGCGCAGCATCATACAACTTATTTACCACTCCAAATATCGCAACAATGTCTGTTACTACCAGTCATCTCGTGCTGCCACGGCCAGGCACAACATATACACCAAAGCCGCCTATTAGAGGTCCTTCGGAATCATTTTTCACATCCACTTTTGGCGCCTTGCTTCCACCGGCGCAACACCTTGAAACTGCCAATGGAAAAGCGGCGTACTACTCGATACCACCATCAGCACCTACAGAGAGTGCACGAACAATCGATCGCGTACTCCTGATCCATGGTGTACAGACCCCAGCCATAGGAATGCTACCTCTGGCACGTGCACTGCACGATACATTCCCACACACGCATTTCGTGTTGGTCGATCTCTGGGGTCACGGCTTAAGTGATACACCCGTCATTCCACACGAAGCGGCTTTGTTCCATGGCCTGATTGACGCGCTACTCGATCATTTACAATGGTCTACCGCACATCTCATTGGCTTCTCCTTCGGCGGCTCATTAACAGTTGGATACACTGCATCGCGACCATCTCGCGTGAGCAGCTTCACGCTTGTTGCCCCAGCGGGACTTATCCGCATCTATGCTTTCCCAACAGAAGACCAACACCACCTGATGCACGGTGTTGACGAAGTCGAGGTGCGAAAGCTTATTCTACGGTTCCTGGAAGGCGGGGAATTGATAGTACCGGATGACTGGCGAGAAAGAGTTGGAAGAGGTGAGATCGTTCCTCAAGCGGTGAAGGAATGGCAGATGCGTGAACACCCTGGGCATACGGCTTCTGTTGTTGCTATGTTTAGAGACGGCGGTGCAATGTACAATCATGATAATTTTGAGAAGGCGGTACGGACTGGTATACCTTCTTTGGTGGTACTGGGTGAGTATGATGATCTGTGTACGGAGGAACAGTTGAGAGGATATGGGTTCAATGATGTTTATGTTGTTCCACAAGCCGGACATGGTGTTGTAAGAGAACAGGTACCAGAAGTTGCTGGATTCATCACAAACTTCTGGAATGGGCTAGATTAAAAGAATTGTGAGCGATGATGGAATCGATGAAGAGTATGGAGAGTTTTGGAACTTACTTTCCCTCATCGTTCGTGACTGCTTGCCAAATATAATCTTTCACTAGCCGCATCGCTACCTCATGAACACCTAGACTCAACTATTTGGCCGTCGAGGACGAGCTAATCATCAAACCAGGATAATCGCACTTGACGACAAGAACAAAACAGTCATCATGCTTGACAACGACACACCATCGCATTTCTCCTCGCCCGGGCGTTCAGGCAGTGATCATCCGCATATTGTACGCGCACGACGTCCGCAAGCACGGGGAATGTCTGAACAAGCCACAAAAGAAGACTCTGGAGTCGCCAGTCTGCCAGAACATTGTTGGTTACTCATACTGAAAGGTGGTGAAAAGCTTAGGGCTCACTTGTCAGGATTCAACGCGATAGCCAAGGCTGCCGCATCTACCGACCTTCAAAACCTCCACTTGGCAATTGGGGCGCAGTATTTGCGCTTCCTTCCCAAATTTGAAGACATTCGGTATGATGAAACGACGGACGTTGGCGAATATCTGCCTATCATGGTGCAAGTTGGAACTTACAACGCTCCTGCTAAGCCAAAGAAGAAGGGCCTCAAAACCGAGCAAGTATTGGAAGTGTGGGCCTATCATACACTTTCACAAAAGTCTACCGAGGAAGATCCAGCAACCATCTCTCTGATCGAGCTTGTCGCCTTCAACAAAGACCAACAGCACGTGCCCAATTTATTCGGACTGGAGATAGACGACCCCTGGGCCACGAAAAAACAGCTCGTCAATCTCCTCCCACCCTTCGTCGGCATTCGCAACGAAACAGAACTTCGTTGCTTGGTGTGCTACTGTCTTCTCCTTGCTGCCGCCGAGAACCACTTCTATTTTGACGGACTCTCTATATCTAGAGAACCAGGTTTCACAGGTGTACTGGTCGAACTCTGCAAGAGGGCATGGGAAGATGAGAGATTCCAAGCCCTTGGAAAGACAGGCGTAATGTCAGACAAAAGCAATTTGTGGGATGGAGTTCCTAAGTTGGACGTGCAGAAGGGAAGAGATGCTGAGCAGTATTCAACGTCGGAGAGTGAGGGTGAAGATAGAATTCCGGCAGTCATGCCCGAAGGTACGACGCAGCATCTCAGAAAGGAGTCCAGGAGGAGAAGACGAAGGGATTCATGAAGGTCTGTGATAGAGCGAATGTTAGTGTGCTGCGCATTGCAACATCATCATGCAATCCAGACTCACACGGGGCACTAGATGGTACATTTAAGGAACCCTGACAACAAACAGGCAATATAGAAGGGTGCAGCTGGGCGCAGAAGCAGCTCTCGGCTACCACTATCTCTTCAATTAGCCTGCATGTGGGGCCATCCTTGTGGCGTACATATAAGCCGACCCCACACTGTATACACGGAAGAAGGAAGATCAATATACCTGCCACTGTAAGTTACAGTCGCTTCTCACATATCTAATTTGTATTCTCTGTTTGGTCTTCTAGACTTCAATCCACACCTCGTTTCGATATGACGCGCTTCTCCCGTCGCCCCTCATCCGGCGTCAACGTCATAATAGTAGGCGCAGGCTTCGCGGGCATTGCAGCAGCGATAGAATGTGACCGAAAAGGTCACTCAGTCCTCCTTCTCGAGAAAGCTGCAGATGTAGAGGAAATAACGCGATTCGGGGATATCATCTCATTCGATCCGAACGGTGCGCGCAACTTCGAGCGCTGGCCTGGCGTCATCGAGGCAATGAAGAAAGTTGCACGGAAAACAACGTGGCTGGATCTGTACCACTGGAAAGGGGAGTTTGTTACAAGACAAAGTTTTGATGCCGAGAAGGAGTGGGGGCCCAGGATCAATGGACATAGAGGGGAGTTGTACAGTATCATCCATCAGCATGCTGTCGACCGGGGCGTACAGATCAGATGGGGTCAGCGTGTGACTGACTACTTCGAGGATGCGGAAAGAGCTGGTGTTGTTACTAATGGGGAGCGTATGTTTGCTGACGTAGTCATCGCAGCCGAAGGGGTGCGCTCGCGTGGCCGCAAGATCGTGCTTGGATTTGATGATAAACCTAAGAGTTCGGGATACGCTGTATATCGCTCGTGGTTTTCTGGCGACGCTATCAAAGATAACCCCATGTTGAAGCACCTTGTAGAGAGGGACAGTCACTCTGGGTTCATTGGCCCAGACCTCCACTTTCTGGTTTCGTCGCTCAAAGACGGCAAAGAGTTTAACTGGGTGTTTACCCACGTAGACGACGGCAATATCGAAGAGAGCTGGCAGTTTCCTGGGAGAGTGGAGGATTGTCTAAAGTACGTCGAAGGATGGGCGCCGATAGTACAAGAGATCGTGAGATCGACACCAAAAGGCGCACGTCTCATCGATCACAAACTCGTCTTCCGCGATCCGCTACCGACTTTTATTTCCCCAAAACAACGCATCGCTTTGATTGGAGATGCAGCGCATCCATTCCTTCCAACATCCATCCAAGGAGCCAGTCAATCCATTGAAGACGGTGTCGTCCTAGCTGCATGTCTCGAACTCGCTGGCAAGGAAAGCATCCCACTAGCCGTACGTGCATTCGAGAAGATCCGTTATGAAAGAGTACACAAGGCGCAGGCGACAGGAGTGAAGACGCGCGAGCGATGGCACAAAGCCGACTGGGATGAAATCGTTAAGAAGCCAGAGTCGATTCACCTAGCACGTGAGGCATGGTTGCTGAACTTTGATGCAGAAAAAGACTGCTACGACAGGTTTCAAGTAGTTGCCAAAGATTTGCGGGGTGCACAAGCGCGGTTGTAAGGTTGGGACGCTTTGCTCGGGTAGTAGCGTCGGTATATTGTGTTGGTGTTATACGGACCAGGCAAACAACCTTGAAGGCACGTTATCTACACGTGGTATGTCAGCGCAAGGTTGTTTATGCATGTCTCGCGTTGGCTTTCCTGTTTGGCGTAGTTTTCGATCAGACTAGAAATTGGATCATAGCGGTTGGCATCATTGATGCGGATGAGCTCGCGCTACTGCCGTCTAATGCCGGGCTAGCACCTGTTACCGTCTATCACGTCACAGCCGTGCACCTGCCACTTGCAAACTAGCACGGGCAAAGGTGATATCTGTGTGTCTAAAGCAACTGCATGTCGTCTTTGCGCAGCCATAATAACCTCGCCACTTACCTATTGCGGGAGTTTTGCACCCCATAGTCGCCTCCTCGTGTTTTGGAGCAACAGATTAAGAGTGATTGGGCTGCAAGATGCACCTTTCTACCCTATCCTGCTTCGTCGCCGCTGTCACCACCACGGCTGGTGTTCAATTCGGCGACGCAAAGGACCCTATCAACATCGTAGGCGTCGGACGCAACGATATCGAAATCTTCTTGGGTATTCCATATGCTCAAGACACCAGCGGCGAAAACAGGTTCAAACCTCCGATTCCCTATGAGTATACTCCAGGCACTACTATCGATGCGACTAAACCCGGGCCTGCTTGCCCTCAACCACTGGGCGTACTCTACCCACCCCTCGGACTGGGCAACATCACCGAGACTTCTGAAGACTGTCTGAACCTGAATGTCGCAAGGCCCAAGGCGGAGGACAGGCAAGGAAAGGGGCCGCTACCAGTGCTGGTATGGATTCATGGAGGATCTTTCTGGTGGGCCAGTAATACCGAGCCGACGACCGCGCCTGACGGGATGATTAAGCAATCTGTGGAGAACGGCGACCCGATCATACATGTGGCCATGAACTATCGTCTTGGATTCTTTGGGTTTGCCAACTCCGACTCGCTGAAAGAGGAAGGAAGCATGAATGCTGGTCTGCGTGATCAGCGCGCTGCTATCGAGTGGGTCCGCACAAACATCGCTGCTTTTGGTGGGGATCCGGAGAGGATTACAATTGCCGGTCAGTCTTCCGGCGGCCTCGCAATCGGAATGCAGATCATGGCTTACGGTGGGGAGAAGCCACTCCCGTTCCAGCGGGGTATCGCCCAGTCTCAGTCCCTCGAGCCTGGTATCACCGGTACTTTTGCCAAGGATGCTATGATTGCATTGGTCGACTACGTGGGATGCAACACTACCGATGTGGATGCTCCTGAGACGATCGAGTGTCTACGAGCGTTAGACACTGACACGCTGTTTGAGGCCTCGAATGCGACATACCAGAGTGATATCGCCCACAATATTGGTGATATCTGGTTGCCACAAGTGGACGATGATTTCCTTCCTGCACCACCAAGCCAGCTTATCGCAGAAGGACGCTTCGGTAATGCTACCTTCATGTCTGGATGGATGCAAGGTGACCTGAACGTCTACACCAACACTTCCATTGCGACCGCGCAAGATACATACGATTTTGTTCGCGGGTACCTCCCAGCCTTCTCGGAGGATTCCTTGACCAAGCTACTGGACATGTACCCTGTAGAGGAATTCGGAACCACCGTAAATCTGACGGCGGAGTTCTACCGCTCAGCGCGAATCTTCCGTGACATCCTCATGGTGTGCCCATCGCTACATCTCGGTGCTGCGATCGACGAAAAGTACGAAGCGCCAGTCTACTTTTACAATTTCAACCAGACCATTCTAGATCCCATTCTCGAGTACGTTGACGATATTGTTGGGTTTGGAGTTGTCCACACATCGGAGTTTGCGTACATTTTCGACAGCATGCAGGTGTATAACAGGTCAGGCTACCCCTTTGATCCAACAGAATATGATTACGAGCTTGCTATGCGAGCAAGTCGATCGTGGAGCACATTTGTCAGCCATGGAGTCCCGGCGGAGAGTGGGCCTCAATCAACTACGCTGCTGAATTGGGACGAGGCATATAGTCGGCCAGGTGGTCCGTATGTCAGGACGATCGGTGGAACCCATCCGAGTAACAGCGCGCTGGGCATAGCGAATGCGACCCAGGAGATGGCAGAGCAAAAGCTGCAGGAGCGATGTGCTTTCTTCAACAGCCCAAAGATCATCCAGGCACTTCAGTATTGAGAGTGGTTTGGTCCGGCTAGATGGAATGTAGATGTCTTTGGCCAATGCAGAGTATATGATCCAGAGAGAAATAAATAGGCCAAATAGCGTTTAGGAGTAACGGCACAAGGGGTATCTTGAATCCAACCTCAGAGTAATCACACTTCCTCAACCGCTATCTTCCTACTCGGTCTTATCGTTCTTGTTCGCCCCATCAACCAACTCCATTATAAACTCCCACTCTTCCTTCCTCACCCTATTCACACTCAATCTAGAATTTGTAACGAGCTGCATATCCCCCAATGGCCCCTCCTTTGCATACTCTTTTATTCTCGCCAAATCTACAATGTCATCGAACTCTCTCACAAACTCGACGCCCACACAGTACCACTTAGGATTCTCCCTGACGCTCTTCTTATCATAATAAGGATCCTTGGGATCAAATGCCGTCTCGTCAACTTTGGCTTCTTCAACTACACGCAGTATGCCTACAATACCAGAGGGCTTGGCATTGGAGTGGTAGAAGAAGCCTAGGTCGCCTTTGCGCATGGCTTGCATGTTGTTGCGTGCTTGGGGATTGCGAACGCCGCCCCAAGGCTCCGGTTCTGTGCAGGCGCGCAGGTCAGAGATGGAGAAGGCGACGTTTACGCCGTTCTCGTAGCGGGGGAGAGGCTCGGCTTTCAGGAGCCAGTAGACTTCTTGAGCGCCGTTCGCGTCGCGGTTTGTGGGTGAGGAAGGGGCGGGTGGAGGGTTGGTCTTGGATTTTGGCGCGGATGTGTCTGGACTTGGTTTCGCTTTTGAAGCCTTGGCTTTGGCCGTGGCGGCTTTCTTAGGCGGCAGAGGGCTGTTGTCTGCTATTTCTTCGTCTGCGTCTTCATCTTCACGATCGCGCTTGCGACGCGTCGTCTTTTTGGCGCTGCGCTTGGATTGTACTTCTGCTGTGGATGAATCATCATCTTCGTTGTACTTCGGTGCTGCTGCCACCGTTTGACGCGTAGGTCTTCGTGTGCCAGCCATGACGAGGTTGTGGTAGAGTTGCAATGGTTGTGGACGTTGGTATGCTGTGCGGCGCGAGCGTGCAGCCGACGAGGACGGCTGCTGCTATGACGCCATTGGCTGGCATCTGATCCCCCTCAGCCCTGTACACCCCCAGATCTATAAAATGCTCCACATCTCAACACAGCACATGCTGCCGAGCTGGGAACATCGCGCAAGCTGTACTAGATTAATGATCATGGACACAACTTTGGTCATCCAACAACGGTACTGCTCGCCATGCTCTGTGATAGGACCACCTAGACGTCTCCCCAGGTCAAGACCATTCGCGCGACCGTCCACAGTGCGGATAATAAATTCCACATTCAGACGGTCCTTCCTGAAACCGAAGTACCTCGGCTCATTCGTGGTGGAGTGTTCAAGAAACAGTACTTACGTGGCCTTTGGCGTAATCATGGACCTTGAAGCCTCTTCGACCTTCCAAGTCTTTTCACACCGAGTGCGAAGCACAATTCACAACTTACAAACAAGCTACCACGATCACCAAGTATCAACATTAAGCCGCGACGATGAGATACTTGGAGGTTTCTGTTGAGATCGTACACCAAAGACCACACTATGCATGATCTTAAATCGCCGCTTTCTCCCCTAGCGGCCGCATCTTTGCATAGCACATTCGGTCGACTACCTCAACATAGCCAAGCTCAAGGAACGGGGCCGGATAACTCCACTGAAGTTATGGATCCGCCTCCGCCACTCTGCCGCTACGGCCGCATGAGTTGACAAACGTTCCACTTGTCTCGTAGTAGCTACCTAGCAAAGACTAATACTCGGCCGACATGACCTCAACTTGTAAGGTAGAAGATCACTCTCGGAGGCTCCGAGGTGAACTCGATACGACTTGGCATTGGTATACATAGTACAGCTTTCGCCCTTAGTTGCACATCAATTCTAACAAGACATCCTGAATACATCACGCCGGATACGCAGCAATGGAAGCATTCACCAAAAAGACGCTCAAAACCTCTCGAGGAATCACATACACCTACTACACCTCTCCCGGCTCCGCTTCTCTTCCGACTCTACTCTTCCAACATGGCTACCCCGACCATGCCGCCATGTGGGCACAAGTCGCGACGCCCCTGCGCTCTCTAAACCACCCCATCATCATCCCGGACATGCTAGGCTACGACGGAACAGACAAACCCACAGACCCTTCCGCCTACACCTGGGACAAGATGACCAACGATATGGTCGAAATCCTCGATGCAGAGAAGGCACAAAACTGCATCTCCATAGGTCACGACTGGGGTTCCGCCGCTGCTTCCCGCTTATACAACTACCATCCAGAACGCGTAGTTGGCTTGGTAAACCTGAACGTCACGTACACAGCCCCAGGTCGCAAGCCCTTCAATCTAGATGGAGCAAATGACATGATGGAGAAGGTTTTTGGATATCGGTTGTTCTCATACTGGTACCTTTTCACCGCACCCGACGGACCAAAACTTCTCAAGGAAGGTCTAGAGAAGAACTTCCACATGATGCACGACAAGGATGGCTTGAAAGAGTTCTTTTGCACACCTGACAGTATGCGGAACGTCCTTACCGGAAAGACCGAACCTACTTTCAACCTCCGACCTTACGCGCAAGATGCTGAGTTCAAGAAAACTTTCATCGAGCGGATGCAGCGTGATGGCTTTGAAGCACCGGTGTGCTGGTACAAGGCTACGACGACGAATCTGCAGCATGAGAGTGATGCCAAGTTACCTGAGGGGAGGGAGATAGTCAACGTCCCATCGCTCTATATCGGATGCAAGCAAGATATTGTGTGCAGGCCTGAAGCCATGTATGAGAGTATACAAAAGGGCTTGTTACCGCAATTGGAACAGTCGAAGATGATTGACGCGGCGCATTGGGTGACGTATGAGAAGCCTGCAGAGGTAGTGTCGAGACTGGAGGAGTGGTTGAAGCGAAAGTTTGCGCAGTGAATGATGTAGTATTGTGAACAAATTGGACGAACAATAACATAAGGTCGTTTGATACGTGGTTTTTCATTCTCTACATTGGATCATTTAGACAGCTGTGACATGATTTGCAGGAAACAGTCTTCCAACACCACAGTAAACACCCCAATACCAGTCGCCGTTGATATCGGCTGCTTCTCTTATCTCTGCTCCTCGAGGGAAAGATAGTTCGTCTTCTACCCCTTCGTCTGGTAGGTAGCCCCATCTAGCTAGCAGTCTTAGTCCTACTCCTCCGTCTGGTGGATACCGTTGTACTCTTGCCATCTCCTCTTCTTCTTTGAGCGCGTAACCACCTACGAGATCGCGCACAACCATGCGTCTTTGTGCGCCATCACGGTCTTCAAATCCTACAATATACATGCGGTGGCTGCGGAGACACTTGCGCCATCCGTTTACACCGTCTTCCTTGGCAATACGACCGCTAACGACGAGCTTGTGATAGCAGCTCATACATATATCGTAATCCCCGGCGTTACACTTTAGACAGTGGTATCTCGTGTTTGACGGCGGAATGGGATAACTGCATATATTACACAAGGTCGTGAACGTCAGAGGTCGGAAGATGGAATTCGCAATGGTAAAGTAGCCAGGGCCACGCATAAGAGATGCTGTCTTCGGTGTCAACGGAGGAGTTGTAGGTACTGCGTCGTGGTCTGGTGGAGTCAGATGTCCGTCTTGCCGTGGCGTTGAGGGCGCTGATGGAGTAGTATCCGTAATTGATTGCGAGTCCCTTGTCTTGCGAGCGACAGGAACAAGGGGATGCGTGCAATGATGGCCTTGGTTAACGCAATCATTGCAATAGCCCCAGTCGCCTTCGTTGCAGTAGTCGCACTTCCAGTAGCAGGCATTGGCGTATGCCTTGCACATGTCGCAGAAGACTCCAATTTCCACCCTTTCCCTGGGATTGTCCTCGCTCATAAGCACATGTGGCGGCGTTGTAGATTCTGTCAATGGTGTCATAGGCCTGCGATACCGATGTCCAACAAGGATATGGGGGTGCTCATGATTTGGCGGATAGCCACCTTCGGGTGCTTCTCGTTCGTATCGCGGCCAGGCAGTCCAGCCAAAACCATACCAATGCTTGCATCCTCTACCGAGACGGTAGCAGCGGAGGCATATATCATACTCTCCATCATCGCAACGTTCACAGTTGTAGTGAAGCTCGTACTGTATGTCATTCTTACCACATCGTTGGCACGCTATGTGCGGCTCGTTGTACACAACAGGAGCACCTAATGATGAGCCTGAAGCTTGTCTCGACGATGAGCCCGAAGCTTGTCTTGATCGAGACTCGCTCACAGTTGGATCGGTAGTGGAGCGAGGAAAGGGGGGAGGTGACAATAACGGGGGAGTGCTACTGTTGGAGGATCGTGGCAACACAGCTCTGCTGGGATCTGTAGTACGCCTAGACGTAGGGGGCTGGAATGGCGTTATGGCTGGGGTGGAGGAAGATTGGGGTACAGCCGGAGTACCGACTGTAGCTAGAGAACTCGTCGGACTGCCGCTGTTAGGTAGATCGAAGCCAAGGCTCTGGGGTGAGTTGGGGCTTGAGACTACGTTGATGGCGCTGGTGTTGGCGTGAAGGCTGATGCGAAACTGTTCGCGGACATCAAGCCTACTTCTCTGCTGGTTGTCGGACTGACGGCGTGGCCTTGGTCGCGCATGTTCTGATGACGACTGCCGCTCGCCACTACTGTTGTTCTGGGAGGTCGCAGAGACAGGCGTAGGACGCTCTGCTCTTCTTGCCGATCGAGAGCTTCCCTGACTTGAAGATCGCTGGCGTGGTGCTCGTCCGCCTCGGTTCGCGGCATCGATGAGACCAGGTCTAGATATGGGCGGTCCTACTGCCGTCTGAGGTGTCGACGCGCCGCTTTCCGAACGGCCGTGCCTTCTTCTGCGTGCTGCTTCCTCGTCGCGCGTAAGAGGGCTTCGCATGGGTTGAGGCAACAGCGATGAAGATGACGAGCTCATCAAGCCCTCTCTTGCCAGACGCTCCCTCCTTTCTCTCCTCTCGCGCTGTCTTTCTGCATGTCGCTCTGCCTGACGTCGTCGCACAGCTTCGGCTATCCTCTCTGTAATTTCTTCCTCCTGTGCAGTGCCAATCTGGTTCAAATCCACGCCTTCAGACACCAGCTCTTCCAGCACCTGCCGCACGAGGTCCTCGTCCACGTCTTCCGCGTCGAGGTCGGAGGCGCTCAGCAAAGAACGCAGGCTGGACTGGTGTTCAATGGCCCTGGGAGGTATAACGGCTCTGGATGGCGATGCGCCGGGCGGGTTCTGGCTGGTAGAGCGCCTTTCGTCCCGCGCCCTACGAGATTCCCTGCTCGTGTCGCGACTTCTCTCCCTCCGCCTGCGCTCCCTCGGGGGTTCCAGACTGGTCCTGCTGCTGCCCGGTATGCCCACGTCTCTCAGACTCAGCTGCTGGGCCTCCTCGAGCATGCGCTGATCGACGTCATCGCGCTCATCGCGCCGTCTGAGCTTGGGCAGCACATTGTCGCCCGGCTTGTACTTGTTGCGGTCTGCCGTCTTCTCCTCGGCACTCTTGCCTCTCTGGGGATTCGATTTTAGGAATATATCAAGCAGCGTGGTGACGGTGGCATTGGGCTGGGTGGTGCGCACCGAGGCGCGGCAGGAGGGGCAGGTGTAGGGGTGTATGGATGTGGCGGTCGAGGCTTGGAAGGCGAACCATTCCTTCAGGCAGGCGCCGCAGAAGGTGTGAAGGCAGTCGAGGAGGGTGAGCGGCTGGTAGAGGAGGTCGGTACAGATCTGAACACGGCCGAGTTAGCAGGCGCATCCTCGTCGTTGAGCGGGCCCCAAGAACCTTGGAGAGACTCGGAAGGAGCGACCCAGTCTCTTATCTCAACATGCTCTCGAACTCGCCCACAGTCGTGAAGCTGCAAATCCTCGTCCACGCACCCGTCGATGCGACGACACCCCACTCGCCAACACCACAAACTTGAACCTCGACTTACCGAGCACGTCAGTTCCTTCTCCAGATCGCCCTGTACTCCGCCAGCGCGCTCGGCCTCAGCCATGGTTCGTCGCAAACTGTTGGTCAAGAGCCGTCGTCATTAGCTGCCTGGCTATGAGGTTGCCGTCTAGCTAGCTCAGCTCGTGCGGTCAGCGACTCGATGCAACAACCATGCACTTGGCGAGCCTCTCTATTACTTGGAAGAGGCGTCATACCATGCCAGCGCATCTGCACCCTGCGCCAACCCAGCAGCAAAAGTACATGTGTTCATCGGCCCGCTGCAGCCTTATGTTTCTTACCGCAAAGAGCCCCCGTCTCTCCATGTCGGTACGTCACGCGCCTTGCCGACGTGTCACGTATCCAGAGTCGGTGAGAGACGGCGACGCACCTACCATGCCTCTCAACCCGACAGCACATGTCGGGAAAGCAAACATGAATTGATATGTCGCCAACACTATAGCTGCCTCGCACGTCTATCGTCTCGAACCCTCCCATCTTGGCCTCCTGTTAAGCTTTCTAGCCCTGCAGCAAATGACGTTTGATACATGGTTTCACCTGCGCTACAACCAATGCAACTACGTCCCGACCACAGCACACCCAAAACACGATCCAGATCAACGGGTCACAACAGGCAAGACGCCGTCTGGGATATCAGGTATCCACATGTTCATGCCTGAGGTTTTAAAACCTCAGGCCAATAGGACTATTCCAGTTTTGGCGAGATCGATTAAGCTTTATAGCTCCATCTCATTGGAGAGATCGTGATGGTAGTTATATCCATATATATGAGAGGATATCATCAATCTGTTGATAGTCGATCAATAAGTACATGACATTATGATGAGTAGCAACAACGCATGTAACTTTTGGGTAAGTTTGTCATGTTAGCCAAGAGCACAGGGGATATATGTGGGTTAAGAGAATGGAGACAATGAAGAGGTAGTCGGATTTCATTTCATATCTTCCCCTCACCTCATATAGATACAGGTGAGGCACAAGTAAGAGACAGTTTTCTGCGTCGCGTCATCTTTGGTATACTTTTGTAGACATGCACATGGCTAGGTGAGAGAAGAGCGGGCAGACCTTAGGTGAAGTCGATTTATCGGTGGCCATATAAAGTCAGCATCTTCATGGGTGTATCCTCCACATCTCCACTGACAAATACTCTTACAGCTTCGTAACTGCTCTTCCATTATAATCATCATCATCAACATCATCATGCCTCCAGCTTTCACCGAATTACCTTTAGTATACCCACAGATAAAGCCATATATCCTCAAGAAAGAGCTCGCTACCATCGCGGAAGACAGGATCCAGACTGTCAGCGACCAGTACGAAACCCTGATCGGCGGAGGCCAACACAAGCGTGACCACGCAATGAGCATTGCTCGCATCTTGGCCGTACACTACGGGTATCTGCCTGATGGCTTCGCCAAGGAGGTTCTCGGCGTCATCACTGCAGACCTCACCAGGTACGGTCGATCTGCGAACACTCATGGCCCGCAAAGATTGGGCTCGGGTCTGGATCAGCAAGCTCATCTCGACAATGGACATCATGCACCGCAGCGTGATCACCCTCGAGTTCATCCAAGATGTTCACTGCGAATACTCCACAGACCCAGTGCTACACGGATCTTTCGAACTTCCGCTCGACAGGCCCAGCATGAACACATCTATTCGAGATCTTGTAAAGCTCGTGGACGAACCAGCGGATACTTGGCACTGGAAAAAGGTTCCGGTAACAACAGCCACAAGGATGCATGCCGCGCCTGCAAATGTGCACGAGAACGTTAACAACAAGAAGAGACGAGTCATCCGGGATGTCCAACTGGCCTTATTAGAATGAGAATGAGAATGTCGGTGTGGTTGGTTTACGCATGGTTCGTCTAAGGGTAGACAAGGACATGCTTCGAGGGAAAAGCGTAGGGATTGATGGAATTCAGCGGGATACTAGAAAGGAAAATACTTCAGTGCTTCATTCTCTTCATGTCTTTCTGTATCGGTTTTCAAGACTGAGTTCTTGCTATCTACGATAGTCATGGTTAACTTCATCACATCGCCACCAATGCATGACTTTAGCTCGTAGTGACGAAGCACGATACGGACGATAAAGATGCTACCCCGTTGCCCCAGTAGCAACCAAGCTAGCGTATGGCATGCCAATAGTGCTCATAGTATACATTGAAGCAGTCAAATATCATCATGAAATTTTCTCCGAAGCAGACTCATGCCCATGTCTTTGTCAGATTAGTTCCATCCACTAGAGTGATTCCAGAGCCGCACATCACTCTCATCTTGGGTTCAATTCTAGAGAATTACAATCAAACACAAGAGCATTGCGACGGAAGCACAGTGCGATTCTGACTATAGAATCCTATCGTTGACAAAGTCCACACTTCTATAGCAGTAATTCGTGAATACGCTGATCAGTGTTTACTAGCATGCGTTACCTCCACACTTCATCCAAAGTATCCTCAAGGTATTCACGATGTTTTGCTTCCCAGCCTGAATATTTATTAGGCAGCGTATACATTCCGGGTATGCTTTGGTTTTGTCATCGATCAGGGTTCGAAAGATCGTGTTTCATGAATTCATTCTGCATCACATGACTCACACTTTCAATAAATGGTAACAAACATGTAGTCGGCAGGCTAATACCTTCTTTATCTACATTTCCAGCGAATAACTCTCCTCTTACATAAAATACTAAATACATGTTCCAACCATTAGACGTCTGACCTGATCTTTATATACAGAAAAGACTGATTGGCTAGTGACCAGCACATCGCCCTCGCCTTGCAAGCCATTAGACTCGTTCTCTTCATAAACTCGTAAGCGCAGTGCTTAGTTGTTGTTGTTGCCGCCCTTGGCTCCGTTGCCGCCGTTGCGGCCAGATGCCTGACCCGCATTCTGTCCCTGAGATTGTTGTCCAGCAGCGGCGCCGTTGCCAGCCTGTTGCTGCTGGTTAGCACCATTTTGAGTCTGGCCTTGAGTCTGTTGTCCGGCAGCGGCGCCATTGCCTGGCTGCTGGCCGTTCTGCTGAGTCTGCTGGCCGTTCTGTTGACCCTGTTGGGTCTGCTGACCAGCCTGCTGACCCTGCTGTTGGCCAGTTTGTTGACCTTGTTGAGGGGTCTGCTGTCCGGTAGTACCCTGAGAGCCTTGTTGAGGAGCTTGGACACCAGTCGTTCCTTGGGGTGCTTGGCCGTTGGTAGGGGTGATGCCAGCGGCTTGCTGAGGAGTTTGTCCGTTGTTGGTTGCGGTGCCGGTGGTACCTGTAGCAGTTCCCGCAGTTCCCTGAGTACCCTGAGTTCCAGTAGTGCCCTGAGTTCCAGTAGTACCCTGAGTTCCAGTAGTGCCCTGAGTTCCCTGAGTGCCTGTGGCAGCACCAGCAGCACCAGTGTTCTGAACCAGGCCATTACCAGTTCCTTGAGCAAGAGCCTGAGCAGCGGCAAAGGCAGCAGCGGGGCTACCTGCAGGGGCGCCGGGCTGAGTAGCGCCAGTTCCCTGAACACCACCAGCAACACCAGTCTGGTCGCAGACGGTGGGGCGAACCGCCTGGGAGGTGGATCCGGTAGAAGCCATATAAGCATCGATGTTGGGGAGGACGTTGACACAGCGGTTTTGGTTGATCAAGTCGATGTTTCCAGCGGCAGCCATACCCTGAACAGACATCTGCTGAAGCTTGTCGACGACATCCTGGAACGAACCACCAGTAGCGAGTGTGCTGTTGGCCGCAATGACGTTGGGCATCTGACCGTTGGCAGCATCGATGATGGCCTTGTGGTTCAGCTCATCGACCTCTGCGTTGAAGGCAACTGTAGCAGCCTGCTTGAACTGGACGTTGTTCTGGATGCTAGCTCCAGTGTTGAGGAAGTTGGAGACCATTGAAGTGTCGGCCATCCAGTTGGAGACGGCGGTGGCGAGGTCGTTGGCAGTGGGAGTCTGTCCATTTTGGATACCGGCACCGAGACCAGTAGGGGTGTTGGTGGCACCCTGCTGTTGCTGCTGCTGCTGGTTTCCTGTCTGCGCGCCTTGCTGCTGTTGCTGGTTGCCAGCCTGGGTTTGACCGCCCTGGTTTCCGGTTTGTTGGTTAGTTGCAGCGGCGGCAGTGTTGCCGTTACCGCCGTTACCACCCTGGACCTGGGCGAAAGGAGCAGCGTAAGCCGCGGAGGTGAGGAGAGAGGCGATGAGAATGTACTTCATTTTGACTGTGAGATTGGTTCTGTCGAGTGGAATAAGATTATGAGTAAGGATATGAAAGAGAGTAAGAAATGCTGGAGATGCAGAGTAGAAGATATTAGCCTTAGTGAGTGAGGAACCAGTCCGATGAAGTTTATCTGGGTGTTGGGAGCTGTGGTATTTGTACCATCTCTGTTACCATTTCGGATGGCCTTGCCGTCAAGGCATGATGGTGTGCAGGCCTATGCATCGTAGCAGTCTGGGGATGGAGCTTCAAAGCTCCTAAGCTCTTGGCATTCAGTCAGGTAGCACACGAATAGCTTGATCTGGTAGTTTCGAAGTATGCCATAGGGTGAATCAGGCGCCTCCAAACTGTCGAAACTCTCGAAACAGGCGAAGCCGAACTCCAGTCCCAAACACAAACGGGGCATTTCGCAGGGTGCGCCATGTCGTGCATGGAAGATGAATTAGTCATTGGTGTTTGGCGAGCCGATGTCATTGTTTTGGCAGCGTCTGGGAACCGGTTTCGTCGGTCTTGGCGCCCGAAGCTTGCGGACGATCATCAGATCTTGTGTTGAATCTTAGTCTAAACGCCCCACATTTGTCCCAGATCGACACAGGTTGCCGAGTTGCTGTCACATACTCTCACGACTTGATCGCGCACCATAGTGGTGGAGTGGATAGCTAAGCTTTCGGGTTGATCGTGCTCGATCTATTGGGGTGCGGAAGCAAGTACATATGCGAACAACGTGTTGCAAGTATCCTCTTGAGATTACAACAGATATCGCATCGGAGCCTTCCAAGACGTGCCCGCGTTGCAAACTCTGGAGATAATTTGGAGGCATGCTTTCAGTAATTGCTTCGTTTTGGAAATGCCTCCGAGAAGCGGAACGACGCGCTAGAACGCGCTAGAGCGCGCTGCAACAACGTCTGGTGTATCAGTGGCAGAAACGGTAGAGGTACATGGGAAGGTTTATGCGACTGTGACTTTTTTTCTTCTTGCATGTCATGCCAAATGTAGCTCACAGTCCGAGTACGAACCCGATAGGCTGAGTGCAATACGTGAAACTGCTCCTCGTGACGAGCAAGTGACTTGTTGCACACGCGACTAATGCACAGGTTAGCACTCCATATTGTTCTGCTCACCAGATTTCATGTTCTTCTGTTCGGCGTCCATCTCAGTTTCGATCTTTCGGATGAATTTAGCTGGGTTACCAGCGACAACAGTGAAGTCTGGCACGCTCTTCGTAACGACACTCCCAGCGCCGACCACACTGCCTTTGCCTATCACGACGCCAGGCAGTATGCAAACATTGCCACCAATCCAGCAATCCTCTCCGATATGTATTTCCTTGCCCATTTCAGGCCCCCTAGTGCCGTTACGGACAGCTGGGTCGAGAGGATGAGTAGCCGAGTAGAAGTGGACGTTCGGTCCAACAAGCGTGCGTGAACCAACGGTAGTTAGGCAGGTGTCGAGGAAAACGGCGTTAAAGTTGATAAAAACGTTGTTGCCTAGGCGGACATTATATCCATAATCCATGATGACTGGCGGTTCGACCCAAGGATCATTCTCGAACAGCTTCGCATCCTCGTCTTCTGAAGATGCCATTGGAGGAAGAGGGGTTTTGTCTTGGATGATGCTAGTTGGAGTATAAGAAGAAGTCTGATGAAGAGCAATCAAATAGTTGCACATACTCTCGGAAAAGCTCAGTCAGCTTCCGCCGTGATACATCGCCAGCATTGTTATAGCGAGTGCAGGCTTGTCTGCTTCGTGCACGCTCTGCTGTGAGCTCAGGCGTGAAGGCATGGTAGAGTTCGCCGCGGGCCATGCGCTGCTTGTTCTCCGAAATCTCCATGTTTGCCTCTGGAATTGTGAGGATCTAGCACTTGATCTTGGAGCTGGTGTGATGGCTATGAAGCCGATGTGGATAAACAAACACATGTCGAAGTAGAAGTTGCGAATGCCAGGTATCACGGCACTAAGGCACGCTTGGACTAGCGCGATGATCTCATCGGCTGACTCCGAGGTCCCACCTGGCAAGACGGGACGCGCAGGAGCCAAGGCAAAAGTGACTGAGTCGCCCACCTCTTACTATTGTTCAGCTCAACTTCCTCACAAGCCACACGGCTGGATGTTGGTCGCGTACTTAGGTCCCGTTGCAAGCCTTTAGAAACATGCCTTGAGTTTCTTCGCTCGTCTTGTTATTCGACGCCAGAGTCCCTGCATAGCCGATATCTACCTATCCACGATTGCCATGTCTTCGAACGGCTCGCTCTCCTCCGGTATCGATATCTCCCTACCCACGAATCGACCGAGTGAGAACGGGAAATGGACTCCAGAGCTTGATCAGGAGCTGCGCGCTAGAGAAGCATCGAACGTCCAGACCAAACCCCAGAATGCTATTGCGCCCGAGTTCTTCCGTCACGGCAAGCGCTCGCTTTCGGGCATCGCTGTGCGTGCTTTCTGCCTAGGATGCGCTCTGGCTTTTGGTCTGTTCGGCACTGTTCTGCTCGCATACAACGGCAGCCATCTATGGCGACCGTTTTTGTTCCTCAGCACGCTCTCTCTTTTCCACTTCCTCGAGTTCTACACGACAGCCGCCTACAACACCCCGATCGCATACATCGATTCCTTTCTACTCACAAATGGCGACCAATACCGACAAGCCCACGCGGTGGCCTTCGTTGAGACGCTTGTAACATCGTATTTTTTCCCCGGTTATCAATCAACGATCCACCCACCGTGGTTGATCGCATTGGGCATAGCGATGATCGCGGTGGGACAAGCTGTTCGTAGTACGGCTATGATGCAAGCGGGCACCAACTTCAACCACCAAGTTCAGTCGCGTAAGAACGACGGACATGAGTTGGTAACTCATGGTGTCTATCGCTACTTCCGTCACCCTTCATATTTTGGCTTCTTCTGGTGGGGCATTGGGACACAGATTATGCTTGGCAATACTGTCTGCTTCTTTGGATTTACTGGTGTGTTATGGTACTTCTTTATGAAGCGAATTACTCGTAAGTCCCTTCTCTTCGTCGCGCAAGCATGGTGGCTCACTCAATACAGATGAGGAAAAGTTCCTAATTAAATTCTTCGGCAATGAGTACGAGGCGTACAGGGCACGAACTCGCGTTTGGATACCTTTTATCTAATCACCTGTTGAATGACACGGTCAGTGTGGATTGTTAGATGAGTATGATGAATCTCGTAACACGACGACGTCGTCTCATCACTAAATCCTTTTTCTTTTTCTCTTATCTTTTCTACCTAAACCCGTGGAAGCCGCAAAGTCTCTCTATATTTGTATTTCAACAGGGATACATGAGTAGATAGACGTGAGTAGGCCTCCACATCTGGCACACTGAACGCGTAAATGGTGTAAATCCTCACATTCGTGCTGGATTCGCGGGCGGAATAAGGTGAACAGTGCCATCGTACGTGGGATTCGTTCTTCTTCTGAGCTCGTGTCTATTTCTGTCACCGCCTGCGTCTGCTAGAGCACAGTCTTGCCGTTGTCTCAGCTCAGTTTTAACTCATGAATGCTCTTCTATTTCATCATACCTAGCAAGAGTTTTCTACCTGTCATTGCTATATCAATATGTGCATGGGTGGTGTGTGCGCTCTTATGTCAACTACTACTTTGGCATCTCATCATGTTCATGTTAAGCTTCTGTCGTAGGTCTTCAAGTTTATGAAACCAACCTTACCTTCACGCTCAACTCAAACATTGTTATGAAGCAGATGCTGCACGAGTCTATTATCGCAGGACTCGGTTTAGGTATAGCACATTCTAGTCTCTATGGGTGCCACTATCAATCGTTTCCTATTTCATGCAAAGATCCGAAAGAAACATCGAAGCGGCAGGGAACTATCTCAATGCCGAATTCTACATTGGGTATCATTGAAGACAAACGCTCATCCCGCTTTTCGAGTTTCTCGTCTTCACCGCTGTCGTCTCATTGGCCACAGGCTAACACCAGGAACGGCAACCGCATTGAGACACCCTGGACTGTTTACATTCCTGCCCTCAACGATCCGACGTCACCTCAACTCTTGCCTACATGCATGCCACAGTCTAATGCCTGGTAAGACTCCGCCACGTTCTCGTATACGAAATAGCGAAGATAAACTGTACCAAGCTTGCCTCGATGCCTGCATAGAGGGAATTGCGAAGATAACAGTGGACAGGCGAATTGCTAGTGCGTGCCGATTCTCTTACTTGCTCATGCACTTTGCTCGACTAACTTTTGCCCAGCAACCTCCACTTCCACCCACACCAATACCAACTCCAATAAGAGCAGCAATATTTTTAGTGCGTGCGAACCTATACCGGCCTCATCTTCCCTTCTGTCGCCTCCTCCATCACCCGCGCGCAAGCAAATCGCTCGATACAAGAGTTCACTTCCACTGTCTCCGTTGCCGGAAATCATGGATCGTTCCAGGCACATGAGTCCGCCCTCAGCAGCGCCGTCTGTTTGGGCTTCTGGAGATGCACGCAGTAACCTCGCCGTCCAACCTGCAGCCAATCTGGGAAGTATCAAGCTCAAGAAGAAGGCCGTCAAGATGGTCGGCGCTGCGGGACCCGTATCTGGCACCACCTCGCGACCCGCAGCTCTTACCCTGCCAATGGCATCCTCATCTAATGCAGGTCCAGCCAAAGTCGAGCTGAAGGTTTCCGACGGGTACGAACTGCTACATAATCTTTCGAGCCTTACTGACATGCGTGCGTATAGACCAGCATATGCTAGGCCCACTGTCGCACCAAAGTCATCCTCAGTTGAAAAGAGTATCGTCGCGTCCTCCGCAGCTACCCCTACAGAGACGGCCGCGCCACAGAAGGAAGATCCGAATCCCACAAGCGATGCCTTCGAAGAGTCTGCCATGGATGCACTCTATGCTCGCCTAAACAGCAAGACTGTCCTGACCCCCCGCAATCCCATCGGCAGTACCTCAGTAAGGCCTGAGCAAGCCAAGTTCTCGTTTGGTGATCGTCTTGCAGAATCAAAGGCAGACAACACCAAGATCGATAAAGCAGAAGCCGAGAAGGCGGAACACAAGGGGATCGATGGCATCAAGGTTGCGGACGTGTCACAAGAAGAATTGGAGAATGCGTACATGCGTAAAGCTAGCGACTACATTCAGGCTATACCAGACGTCAATGGAAACACGGCAAGTCTCATTAAGGCCATGTCGAGGAAGTTGCGTGGCTCGTATATGCCAGAGGTCAAAACCGACGTCGAAAAGAACGAGATCATCAAGGCACGTCTAGCCTTCGCTGTTGCCAACTACATCAACAAGGTATTGAAGAAGCGCCCAGAGCAACCTCGTACACCCGAATCTATCAAACAGACGCTCAAGGATGCGAATGGTGATTTCCTCAGACTTTGTGCCAAGCTTGTCGAAGAAGGTCACTTATCTCTAGAGACACTCGCTGAAGTATCGGGTATTGTTGCGGCCATGCACAACATCCTTCCCAAGCCCGAACTACCCGCCACCGCGAGCGTTATCGCCCCGACCAAGGCAGCACCTCCTGTTGCGTCGAGTACTGAAAACACCAAGCCTGTTTCTAAGGATCCGGCAGACGGCATGAAAGGATGGCCGACCCAGGAGAAGCGGGAGAATCGTAAGTCTGTATCTATATGTATGATCAGGCTGAAACTGACAAAATTTAGCGGCTGCTCATCGCACCTGTATTCTAAAAGGGGTTGCAGGTATCACCAGCATCAACCAATTGCAAGCCCTTGTGTGGGGTGGCAAACTCGAGTCTATCTCCTTGCCAGAACCGGGTTCTTCCAATGCCCTCGTCAAGTTCCTCACACCTGAAGCATGCGAGAAGTATCACAAGGCGACTGCGAATGGCATCGAAATCGTCGGCGACATCAAGAAGGCGGTTGTGTTCGTGGAGAAGGCCGAGGGTCCGAACTCCATCAACGATGTCATCCGTAACTGCATTGACGGCGACGCATCACGCTGTGTGCGAGCTATTGGTGCAGACGAAGATAGCGATGCAGTACTCATGAAGCTGGCTCGAGGTAAAGGCGTTAACAAGCGCGATGTCGACCGCATCAAGAGCGGAAAGACTGCACGTGGTGTAAGTAACACTGACTGATTATCTTGATCAATGCTAACATCATCGCTATAGCATTCGTATGTGGAGTTCCGCTTCTCAAACATCTACCACGCCCTCAATTTCAAGCGCGAGCTCATGGACAACGACGACTGGGAGCACTGCAGCATTGGTTATGCACCTGATCCGTGTGAGTTGGCCAATGGTGCTCACTACAAGGATAAGGACGAGGAATAGGTCTACACATGAGCAGTGAGGTATGAGCGAACGAGTCGGAACAAGATCAGGGTATGGCCACGGCGTCTGTGACCTACGATTGCGTGCAGCAAATGTTACAGCAGAGGAGTCTTTGTATGGAAAGCTTTGCCCATTGCGATGCAGACCGCAAGGTTTTAACAGATCCCGTTAATGTTCTTGACACAGGCTCCACATTACAAATGATACTGAACCCAAACAATCTTCCCAACTTGCTCTGCCCAACGGACCGTACTGCTTCAGGTTCAAGTAATACGTTCACACAAACACGGACATGATCATGTTCACCCTAGCGAGCTTTGTTAATCAAGTATGCATGGAAATCTCGCCCTGCTTTGTGCCCACAATTTTAGTCGGTAGACACCTGTACTAATACACAATCCCCTGAACCCGGGAAAGAAACAACAATTACAAATGTTGCATACAGATACCGAAAGTCTGTACAGAAGCTCAAATGTGCCCTAACGCCTTGCTATCACTTCGGTGTTTTCCTTGCCAACTTTCCAGCGTTATTACAATCGACGCCATCCACTACCCAGGCTATAACCATCCTAGCGGTTGACAGCTGTGAAGCTTACGTCGGTCATCTCGGTGTCGCCGTTCTGCGGCGGAGGAGGCGCGGAATCGGTCGTCGGTGGTTGCTGGGCAGCACCTGAGTACGCGCGTGGACGGGCGGCTGCCTCCTCGTTGCTAGCGGGTGTGGGGCGTTGCTCGTCATAGGCTGGGTCAAAGTATGCGCGCTGGGCGGGTGCTGGCTGCTGCTGCTGTGGCTGCAGCGGTGGGAGCGAGTGAAGGGGAGGAAGTGTAGGAGGTGCGCCGTTTGCACCGGTGTGTGGACTTGTCGCCGTGGGAGCGCCGATGGTACCAAAGTAGCTGTTCTGGGGACGCCCTGATGGGTCCGGGGTACTCTGAGCACTACTCATGGGGTTCATGCCATGCGATAGGGCTCCTAGACCCAGTCTACCCTCCCCGCTCATGGCTGTCCTCTCACCGGCTCCTCCCTCAGCACTGCCACCAAGGGGAGGTGTGCCCTTCCTGTTGTGGCTCCTTTTGCTTCTCAATGGCTTGTCTGTTGGAGTGGGCGGTGGGCTGCTGCTGCGATCGCTGTCGTCGACGTTGTACTCCATGTGTTTGTTGAGCTGCTCAAGAAGAAATGCGCGCTCGAGACGCATCTTCTGAATTCCGCGGTTCAGGCGTGTGATGCGCAGGCGCGTGCCGTCATTGTTCTCTTCGATGTCGGTTATGCGGCGGCGGAGGTCGATACATTTCCTGTAGTAGGCGCTTTCAACCGAGGGAGGAAGGTCTTTAGAGGAGACGGCGCGGGATGCTGGGGCAAGCAGTTAGTTGACTGGCCACTGGGCATGTGGATTGCGACGCGCCTGAGCGCGAAGGGAGTGCATACGTGGTTGCGGCATCTTTGCGCCTCGTGGTGCTGTGTCTGGATATGCAAAGGTGATTACTAGGCGTCTGTTGATGGAGCCGATTCGCAGGATACGTGGGTGTGGTTTGGTGATACAACTTTGTTGATCAAAGTCAGAGTGCTGGACGCGATGATGTTGAGCTCGGTCCGTGGGGCCGGGGTTGTTCCGAATAGCCTCATCTTATGACATTCTTGGCGCGTCGCGACCTTCCCTCTAGCCAACAAACACCAGTCATCGTCCAAAGACACCCCTTGAGGTGACAATCATTGTATGTTCCGAAATCCTTCATGGACTCTGTCGCATGGCTCCGTCACCACGCCAATATGACGGAACCTGCCATCCTAGAGACTATGATTATCATTCTACACGTAGAACGTGGGTCGGTGCCACTCATGTTCGACTCGCTCCTTAGATGCATCATTCCAGAAAACATAGTTATATGCTTGACAGTCTTGGGGATGCACAAAGATCGCTAACGGGTTGTCTTTCGTATTGTACGCCGGTCTGGACAACATGGCATGGGAACCTGCCAGTTCGTACACATACAACACTTGACTAGAGCACAGTCGCGATAGCGCTGGCTCGCCCAGAGCCGGAATAGGATGGACATCCGATCAAGTATGACGCCATAATTGGGGGCCAAACTGATGAATGATAAGAAGTTCTCAGGGTTCCGATCCTCCCGAGATCGTTTTGTTACTTTCAACTCAAGATGCTGTTGATTTTTCTGTCCCTGGTCTGCGAAGTAGTCTCCGCCGTGTCGTTTCCTCCACCAACAGGACCGTATCACGTAGGATATAAACAGCATGTATTCAACAAAACCACACCAAATGACCCCGTGGCTCCAGCGAACGCTTCGTCAATTCTGCTAGCGACATTTTACTACCCGACCTTGACTATCCCGATACCTGGAAATAACACGAGTCCTTACCTTGATCCCACTACCGCAGACCTCTGGGGCGATGCCCTTCAGTACCCAAATCATTCGCTCCAAAGCTTCACAACCTGGAACGTATACGATGCTGTGCCTCTCGATATGACAGATCTTGGTGTAGGGCAGAAGCCAACCGTCATCTTCTCCCCAGGCGGTGGCGAGAACGCAATCATGTATAACGCATTGAATTCCGAGCTTGCCTCCCAAGGCTATACAGTGATCGCGCTTGATCATCCAGGAGAGACTCCTTATCTTCAGCTTCCCGATGGTGCACCAGGCATCTATGGTATCGATATCACAGAGACTTGGAGCTACGAACTTGGAGTAGCTGTGTACAACATGCGCGTTTCCGATACTATTGCGACAATCAGAGAACTTTTCCCCGCCTATGTCAAATCGACTAACGCCCCGTTCAATACTACGCACTACTTCGCTATTGGACATTCGCTTGGTGGTGCGGCAGCAGCTGGTGCCCTGGCTATCGAACCTTCACTCTTAGGCGGCATCAATTTCGACGGTCTCTTCATAGACCTTTCTGACGTGAAAAAACCATTCTTGATGCTGGCTGGTGCGGAACATACTCCAGCCGTTGATCCTTCGTGGGCTCCTTTCTCTGCCAACCAGTCGGGATGGTACCAGTGGCTTAATGTCACAGGCAGCAGTCACCAGAACTTTGCCGACCTGGGCGACTGGGTCGATCTGCAAGGTCTAAGGAACAAGACGATCACACCCTCATTGGACACGATCTGGGCCCCGAGGATGGATTACATCGTCAAGACGCTTGTAGAAAGATTTTTCGGTTTTGTGTTGGGTGAGAATGAGTGGTCAGAAGTACCCAGTCCAACATTTCCGGAGGTTGAGTATATGAACGGAAGTACCACCAGCAGGTAGATGGTTTGCTGCACTTACCATCTAGCTTATGCCAATGACAGCGGACAACAACAAGTTTAGTCTAACTTGACGGTTGCGTACTTTCATTCGTTGTGTGTTCTGATATTGGTCTTTGTTGTACATACCAACTGATCGGACACTAGAATGATAAACCGAATTCGAGATTGTTACCAAGTCTAGCCTATAGTGGCGTCTGCCTTCCACTGGAATCACTCAGTCGTGATTCCCTTGTGTCTTTATCCGAAGAAAAGGCACTGCAAACAAGCTAAGAAATGTTGTAACAGCTGCTGCCCAGAATACTGCTGCGAATGGCTCGTAAGGATCATCATGGTAATAGCCGGTCGATGCCGGGTCTGCAACCACACTGTTGAAAACTGCCGTCTCTACACCAAAACCAACTGTGACAGCGAGCTTGGTAATGGTCTGAAAGATTGAGGCTGCAATAGATTGCTGAGCCTTGGGCAAGGAAGAGAGAACGTACATCTGGATTCGTGGCGAGTTAGCAGTTGTCAGATTGGTACAGACATTTCCGACTTACATTAGCAACGTTGAAATGGAAATCAGCTCCGACTACAATGATGACGAGGGACGGAAACGTGAAGGCCCAATATGAGTCTCCTGAGCGCTGTACGGCAACTAATATTGAGGCTATAGTGTATGCCAACGTGCCTATGCCCATTAAGATCTTGTTGGAGACTCGATGCAAAATGAGTCCAGCTACCACCTGTACCATGTGGTTAGTGTAGTTTAATTGTATCTTGGTGATGACCCACGTTGATTATGATGCCGCTTACAGCCATGGGAAGCATATGAACTGCTGTCAGCAGTGCCGAGTAGTGGAACAGCTCCTGCAGATACAGCGCGATGAAAAATGTCATCGGCGGAAAGACGAGGAAACCAGGCACCAGAACCACCATGATCTAACAGGGTTTAGCAAACAAACGTGATCATCTGTTGGCTATTGCGAATGACATACCAAGCAGAACTCCCGGTCGCGCCACACATTCATCGGCATCAGTGGGAATGGGAAACGTGTCTCCCATAGTATGAACGCGACGATCAACACAACACCGAGTATGAGGAACACTAGTATGTATGTGGATTCAAAGCCTTGTGCAGCATCTGGCCCAGCGCTTAGAAGATCAACGTCAGTGGAAGATTCCATATCACAGAATGGTTGCCTACCTGAGGGCAGTGGAGAAGAGACCGATGCCTCCTATGATCAAAGCGGCCCCAATGACATCAAACTGTTTGAAGGAATCGACAGTCAGTGGCAGTTTATCACTGTCATCCACTGGAACTGTGAAACCAGCTATGATGGCTACAATCAGGTAGATGATTGCAAGAAGCCAAAATGGTGCGCGCCAGCCGAAAAGTTGTGTTGCGATACCCGAGAAAATGGTACCAAAGACAAAACCCAGTGGATTTCCTGCACTGAAGCTGGCAAAGGCAAGGTTCTTTCTCCTGGATGGCTTCTCATAGATGCTACCTAGTATACCTTGACACGGGGGAACGGCCAATGCACACATCAACCCCATCACTCCATTGAGGATGATAAGCGTCAGCGCATCTTGTGAGAAGCCTGTCCCGAGCGCGAACGCAGCGAACAGAAACAGGCTGGCGAGGAACATGCTACGTCGCCCAAACATGTCTGCGAGTTTGCCGAAGAAAAGCAGGAAGGAACCCGAGGTCAAACTGAGATTATGAGTCGCTGATTGAACCCTCATAGAGTAAACTGACTCACGCTGAAGATGCTGTCATCCAAGTGATCTCGGTTGTGCTCATTGATAAGTCCCTCTTGACGGATGAGGAGATGATGATCGTACAGCCTTGAAGCAAGCTCGGCATCGCCACACCCATTGTTGCAATAAAGACAAACAGGACTTCGTGGATCGTTGTGCGAAAGACTGCAGGGCGAGCATTCGGCTTGTAGTCTGGTGGCACAGGCGTCGTTTTGGTCTCGTTCGAGACTTGCTCGACAGTTTTGTCCGAACTCTGATGAATGGGCATTGCGGTAAGCTCATGCGAGCTCATGATTGCTAGCAAATGTAGGCAGTCGATGGGCAGCGTCGGAAGCAGTCAATCATGGACTTGCCAGAGCTGCAGCGGCCGGAAAAGATGGTAGTCAAGCTACATCAAGAGAAGAGGTAAGTGTCGAGGTGAATTAGCGGTGGGTGTTCGGGAATGCACCTGGACGACGCTAGTACCGAAACAGCGCACGCCCTGTAGGGCGTGAAGGAACGTCGGCGATGAGTGCAAGTTTCTTGAAGGGCTTCCGCACCTGTCAACATGAATATAGGGCCAGCTTCAGTCTATCCAGGATCTGCAGATGCCATCAAGAGCTTGACCCATTCTGCGCGTAGCAGACCTCAGGAGCAAAGCCAGCAGCCAAACTATCCTCGTGCCTTGGACGAACGGTTTCGATAGTTCATAGACACCCGACTTTCCAGGACATTGATTTGATGGCTTCTCTTTAAATTGAGCACTACTCTTCAGGGCGTGTCAATGTGCAAACGCATTAGCATGCTTAGGTATTGGGTATAGCGCTTAGTCTAGCAACATGTCCATGATGTGGGTCCAACATAAGCATGCACAGACTGCAGTACACACTCTAGGTATGAGATCCGGAGAAGGTAGCAAGGGCCGAAGGTTGCTGATGTGCATGCAGTACGTGTGGATCAGCTGGTGGAGAAGGTAGTACCTAGCGGGTGAGATTAGCGGGCCGGGGCGCGCGGGGCCGCGCGAGCTACCGCGTCAACCACACTCTTGATGTGCTACGACAAACTCACCGCTCGTATATGCAGTAAGTTTTCAAAGTTGCTAGAATACCGCAAGGTGTAATCTTAGAGCAATTGTAGAGCGTCATCACAACACTGCAAAGAGCTTCTAGACATGATTGGTATGTGACATTTTGATGAATTTTACTGATCGAACGATCTGGAGACTTATTGTCTACATTCCAGCTTTGATCTCCTGGTCCTGCAACGATACCTTGAAGCACCAACCAAAATCATCTGGCACCCTACCCATTTGACAGTCCCACAACCGCGCCAGTAGCTTCTGATGGACCGGTCCGCCACCCTGCTGCTGATCCGGCATGTAAGCAATAGTCTCGAAATTGCCGTTAACAGTCACACGCGGTCCAGGACTCAAGCCTTCTCCCATGCGCTTTCGCGTAATCGAAGCAATAGGCATCAATGCCACAGCTGTACCTGCACCCATAACTTCACTAAAGTTAGATAGTTCCTTATATGATATAGCCCGCTTCTCTACAGTCCATCCAAAGCTTCGCGCAATCTTTTGAACGGTGTCACAAGTCACGCTCTCTATGACACATGGCGAGTCTGACACCACAATCGTCACCTCGTCGCCTGGCTCGTCGTCTGCACCTGAAGCATAGCGGGCGCCTATGAACGCACTGGTGCTAAACTCATCGATGTCTTCATGTCGTGCACTGTCTAGGTGCAGCGTCACACCATATCCCGCAGCTTTTGATTGTTTCGCCCACCGAATCACAGGGGCATAATTTCCACCAATCTTAACATGACCAGTCCCTCGCGGCGCGGCGCGGTCAAAGTCATCAACGATCAAAGCCTTCATTGCTTGTGCTTTCTCGTGTACTCCTGTCGGGACAACAAAAACGCAGAAGGTCGTCTGATCCGTTGCCGTGAGTCCAAGCTGCGGACTAGACCCGTATAGCTGTGGTCTCACATACATGGCTCCGCCAAAACCATGAGGCGGGACAAATTCGGCATTGAGCGCAACGGCTGCGCGACAAGCCTGGACAAACATGTCCACAGGCACGATTGGCAGGTCTAGTGCACTAGCAGACCGTTGGAAGCGATGGGCGTTCATATCAGGGCGGAAAAGTGAGATTGAGCCAGGAGAGCCAGGGTGGCGGAAGGCTTTTAGGCCTTCGAGGACTTGCTGCCCATAGTTAAGGGCAGGCGACATTCCATGAATTCTCACATGGGGACTGGGGACAAATATAAGTGGCGTCCATTCGCCCGTCTTCTTGGAGTGGGTAGCTTCGATGTGGCCGTTGACTATTGGTAAATACTGATTAGTCGCTGTGACTGAGCTCGGTAGAACTAAAATACCTTCTTGGAATTTGAGATCCATCTTCTCCCAAGGGACAGCGGAAGTGGGAGGCGGGGGAAATTCGGTCATGTTATGGTTTGTGATGACGTGTCTGGCGATAGCTTTGACCTTTGTTCTTACTATTGACAACTTTCGGAAACACGACAACACTAACAGCAACTTATATGCATCACTTTAAATTAGACTACCCCACAACGTACTTCGTACCAATCCTTGGTATGGCAGCAAATTGCCGTCTCTGCGGGGAAGATCTCACTGCTGGTCAACCCCAGACTATACCTTTTACCTAGTTCATTCAAGTGCTTACCGAAGAAAGCATCACGATGCTTTCCGAAGCTGATAGATCATTATGTATAAGATGATGCGTAAAGTAGTGCTTACTTCGAAAACGAATTTGTTTAACCGTGTATAATGACTGGGCTTCTCGGTCACCGAAAACTGGATTTGCGCAGTGATGCCATACGCCATGACGAAAGCTATGGAACAGAAACAAGTAGAAGGATACTTCTAGACAGAGATGCTTTGATCGGTGTCGAGCATGATCGGTCTGACGGCTGTAGATCATTAGGCTTAGCAGTAGTAGGGGTATACATGTGCTGAATATGTCCTGTATCCACAGGAAAGTTGTAACTCAACGACGCGCGGCCTTATACCGCGTTTTGTGGCACCGCGGGCAGCAGAAACACTTCGTATTTGTAAAGTATGTCAGCCGGGCCTGACTCTGACTTTTGGTGAGCACTGAAGGGAGATCGACGGCGGAGTTCCAGAATTTGACGCTTGCATAATGGGCGGTTGATGCGGTCGTTGGATGTATGAAGAAACTTGAGGGGTATCGAAACACATCACATGAGAACCGCTTATAAGCTCGTCATTTTTCTGCTCATGCAACGATTCAATCGATAAACCAAGCTTTCTCTCCCTCCATCTCAATCGTCAAGAGATATCCTCTTCTACAAGTGATCAACATGATCTCCAATGCCGATAATGCCGACGCGCAGCGCGCCGTGGCCAACATCTACAACTCATACATCGCGGCCGCTGCAATTGGTGCTGCGTGGGAAGTTGGTTTGTTCGAAGAGCTGCGCCAGCACGAACATGTCCACATATCCGAGTTCGCAACTAAGCAGAGCCTGGACCTAAAATCCACTCAGGGGTTGGTGGTTTCGTTGGTTGTTGTCGGCATACTTCAGCATGAAGGAGACATTGTCCAGACGGGCAGATTGTTCGACGAGGCCTATACGCAGAAGTCCGTCTTCCACTGGCTGGCTCTCGGCTCAGGTACACTGTTTGCACGTATGCAGTACGTCCTTCGCAAGGAGAATCGGACTGGAGATTACTACACACGGGACAGTGTTGCTATCGGATACGCCTGCAAGGACATCAACACGGTGCATTTCGATCCCATATTCTGGACGGCGATGAAGCAGCTTGATTTCAGTTTTCACAAGGTCGTTGACCTAGGCAGCGGCAGCGGTGAACGCTTGATGGAAATCCTGAACCGTTACCCCAACACCAAAGGTCTCGGTATTGATGTTGCTGCTCCTGCGCTGCAGAAGTCCGCAAACGATGCGGTGACACGCGGCTTCGGGGATCGACTGTCGTTCACCTTGGGTGACGCCACCAATCTGGAATATCGCGAAGAGTTCGCTGATGTAGACCTATTGACATGCTTTCTGATGGGACACGACTTCTGGCCACGGGAGAATTGCATTGCCTCGCTCCAACTTTTGCGGTCGGCCTTTCCCAAAGCTCGCCGCTTTTTGCTGGGCGACACTGTTCGAATCCTCCTGAATCAGACAGGGCTCTCCAAGTACGCAGTTACCGAGGAAAGTGTTCCCAGCTTCACTCTCGGGTTTGAATTTGGTCATGCGCTGATGAATACGTATATCCCGACAATGGAGGATTGGGAGGGCGTCTTCGCCGAAGGGGGCTGGCGCTGTGTCAAGCAGCATCTAATAGAGACGCAGTCTCTTTCCGTTATTTTCGAGCTTGAACATGCTTAGATGGCGAGCTAGTTCATGTTTGGCTGGAGTTGAGATAGCCTGTCTATATGGAGTACTCTATGTTATTAGTTAGCTAGTGGAAGTATTGCAGCTGGCGATGAATAACAATTTCTCTGCAGTCTTAGTGCCTCATATGTTGCGCCTCACGATCGCTTAGCAGGCTACCTCCGACCCATCTTTTTTTACGAAAAGTGTGAGAAGTGTAGCATTGTGTTCTCCTTGATACGAACTGACCTCGAGATCAAGGCGCAAGTGACCGCCTGTGTGATCCAGCAGCTGAGTAGAATCTCCTAGACTGATTCAAGGTAGCGGTTCAGGAAACGACGTTGTAACGAAATTCTGGACATGGTTGATGATTCATTCATTGAGAAGGTCTAGAGTCTCTATCACTTGATCTTGACCGCGCATCCTCTTCAATTCTATGCATCAGCCTGTCTGCAAGATACCATATATGCTGTCTTGCTCCGCCTAGGAACCTGTAACTAGACTTAAGGAATCTTTGCTTGAAAACAACCCACAGCTCCTCATCAGCTGTCTCTCCAGTCCCCGGCCTTGGATAAAAGGGATCATTCCTGAAAAATGCTGCGCAGGCCTGCTCAACTCCCTCTGCGTCCATCCGCATAGGCCTACAGCAGTCAAAATCGAGGATCCACATGCAGTGGGTACCCAGATAGTCAGACTGAAAAGCCATTGACTGTGTATGCTTACTTCGCGGTGGAGCTAGCACGAATTCGACGTCGTTCGCATCAATTTCCGCACCCCAGTGCATCAGTGCGAGAGCCTCTGCCATAGTCTCTGCATATAATCCAGCGCACAGATCTAAGGCTTCCATTTGATCGATGTGTAAAGGAACGTTCCGCAGACTGAAGCGCTGGAAGCGTGATTCGCTTTTTCCCTCTTGTCTGTGCCGGCGCCGACGTCCCAAATATGGTCGAATAAGGCATGCATCATCGTCTGGGTTGCCTTTCACGAAAGTGGATAGTTGAGCGTTGCCAGCGCAGAAGAGATCTACAATCTTGTTGCTGATAGGCCTTGGGATCTTAGGGATTCGTTCCGAGATGAGCGCTCTACAAGCAGTGTAGCCAGAAGGGAATTGATGTAGGTTTGATAGCCACCAGGCATCGTCGGTTTGGACAAGATTGTGGCAGTAAGGAATTGAAAGAGGCATCAATGGTGGCTGTTGGGTTGCGCTCTGGAGGACTCGAAGATGCATGTTGTAATCATTCGTGACTGATCTACCAGGTCCGCCATCTTCGCGCTTGATGGCAACTTGCTCGTCGTCATTGTTTTGGGCGTTTCCAGGAGTCCAGACACTACCACAAAAGCCCCTTCCTATGCAGCGATATTGGAGGTTAGGCTGTAGTATAGTCAAATGTGTATGATGTCGATATTGAAAGTGGTGTGATGAATTTGGTTGTGTACGGGGCACGGAAGGTACATGAGTGCTGGTATATAAAGAAGTTAGAGTTCCAGGTTATTGGCAAATATGTCCCGTGGTACAAACCCTCCGCAAAAACGGTCGTCATTGTACCAATCTCCCAGGACGGCATAGCGTACTGGGGTACCGAGGACGTGGCGCAATATTCGCTACGGGTGGATTGCTATTGGAGGATGCCTGTGCTTTACACTGTTCAAGTGTGAATAAGTCTAATTTGACGAAAGCTAGCTAAGTAAAAGAATGGAATTTACTATGGTACTAATTCTGGTTTTCTGGACTTTACCCACACGCGTCTTACTGGTAGTCTGCTCTTACCTGTTCGCCCAGGTAGATGTTGAGACAGGCTGCCATATTGGGGTCCGTAAACACCATTTTTCTCGTTTAGCAATAACGCTGTCGAGCTTATCACACTACCATAGAGCTATTCACTCATCAAATTCAGCGACATTCGTTGTCGGCTATTCGAGCTACTTGCGTTTGTCTTGACATGTACTATGATATCTTTGTACTGATGTTGCGCATACGCTGTACAGCACTGCGCATCGCGTCTCGCGTGAAATCATCAATTCTGGTACCTCTGCAATGTCGAGTAGCCTCATCTACAAGAACTCACAGCATTCGAATGGTGGGTCAAACTGCATCATCTCACTATGTGCGTTCCTGTGTCCGTAATGGTCCAGCTCATTAAGTCTACTGTGGAGCCATTTGCTCGCAACGCGCATGTGAAATTCCGGCTTGAGCTAGAACTCAGTGTCGGCATCGCCAGCTGCATCACGCGCGTCATCTGCGTTAAGCATCCACTCAAGCGTCCGAACCATGACTTGAAGCGCGCAATCGCCTATGTTCTGTAAGTAGGGCGCACAAATATATTAGAGAAGGTGGAGGACTCTCACACTGATAGATCCTACCTGCGACCATGCAGCACGAGCTGACACCCACCTTTGGAATATAAGTTAGAATTTTTATCTTTTTTGCATATACGACCATAGGACACTGAAAATTAGGCTTCCCGTCCGCTCAGCCATATACAAGCAGTGTACCGGCGGATTAGTAGTTAGGTGGGTGACCACTAGCGAATCCCCGCTGTTGTATGTTTTTGCCCATCTTTTTGCTTTTACATACGACATGTACACTTTGTATGATACGGCATACCCTTTGTGTTCTTCCTTTTTGCGCATGTTCTCATCTGGTGAGGTAGTCATACCTATAAGCCGAACGTATCTTGTAAGTCAGGTGGCTCTCTGTTTTACCTTGTCCAAGTGTGCATAGGTCTAATATGACAGTAATTAAGACACTGTTAGCAGGTATGAATTGCTTCTCATGCTTTGCATAAATCATTTTACGAGTCTTCAACGACTTCAACCACAATTTCTTTTTACGTACAACTATGAAACGTTGAATACAAGTTTACCCGTCTGCTCTGCCTCGAAGCAATCATCTAACTTCGAATGTGTACTCTGCGCTGATTATTCATCAGTGGTATCTCAATAATTATCTAGTTGATGGAACTTACTAGTTGGTGGAACGCATGGCCACTTTAGTAAGCAGAGTTTGGCTTCCATAATCCTCAAGTAAGGAGGAGTCGTCATAACATCAATCTTACGGGTGCGTCGCACTTCAAGGGCATGTTTGCCAAGGTATCGCTCTGAGCGGAAGCTAGAGTATGGGCGAACAAGATTTTAGCGGATGCTTGACTTTCAGAGTATTCCCATGTTACACAGTCAAATACAAGAAAGTACGCACCTCCAGCTGATGTTGGCCTGGACAACATTCTGAATGCCATCAATGTACCGGCGGACCTCACCGTCAATATCTGCACCCCAACTGGGCAGATGATGAATTGCTTGATTCCATTAAATGTAACGCTGCTCAAGCAGGGAATCCAATATATCGAAAGCTTCTTGCGCTGAGTGCCCGGCTAGCCGGCAGACAGCGGTCATATTAAAAGGACATCCCTCACACTATGCATTTGAAAGGTCAGGGTTATCTCTCGATAACTTATACACGTATCGTCGAGCCAGGGCTTACCTCTTCCTTGCGGTACGAGAGTATATCATTAGATCTGGTGCGCATACAATTAGTATCATAGAATGACATGGAAGAACAATCAAAGCAGCGTACAGAATAACGAAGTCAGCACCGAGGCGCTCTAGTGCTTGGATCACGGGGTGCTCGAAGACCTCATCTGGAAGCACAATCTCATGCGCGTACTCAACGAGATGGTAGAGTGGCGCGACGCCGACTGATAGCTGCCGTGTCGATAGCATCTCCTGTAGGGACGGGATGTGATCGGTGGTGAAATGTCCGACGTGGTGCGCTACACCTAATGTGTATTGCTGCATAGCACGAACAAATCGTCTCTGGGTACCGTAGGAAGAGCCGTTTTCGAACCGTTTGTAGATATCGTCATGTGCCTTAACGATAGGAAGCTTGTATCCGATGAAGGGATTGCCCGTCATGTTGGCCATGAGGCTATCGAGAACACGTTCGGATGTTGAAAGGTCGGTTCTCAGCTCGCCTGAGTCGAACACTGTGGTATTTTCCACCGTCAGTGAGGAAAGAGGTCATACTCGAAACACACCAACTTGTTATCGGTCTTGGAATGGAAGCTCACAGTCGTCGAACGGAAAGACCCAATTCCCCCAGTCGCATAAAGTCTTTAGCCTGTCTGGAGGTGCGTCTGGTGCCGCGATGGAGATGAAAAAGGAGAAATCGCAGGCGTTAACCTTTTTGCTCATACTGGGAGCGAAGTCGCATGTTCTGATCGGTGCGGTTAGAGCGCAATGTTGGATCCAGGTATCTGGCAACGGAAGTCACTGACTTGGCAAGCCATCGCTCCGACTCAAGTTTAGCAGCTTGGTACCCCTTGTTTGACCTAGGTTCTTGTGTCAAGAAGCACTTGTATAGGTCAGGGATGGTAACAATGGTTCTCTCCTCCATAGCTGTGGTTATAACATGTGCTGATGTATTGCGATAGCAATAAATGAAGATTTGTCATAAAGCTAGGATAACAAGCAAGTCGAGAGTGAGGCGAGAGGCATAAGTCAAGGTAAACTGACATGGAAAGAGACAAGTGTATAAAGCAGCTAGCTTGAGTCAACAGCTAAATCGATCTAATGGAGGAACAACTAACACGCTGAATTGTGGAAACATGATGGGACCAGTAGCGTGTTCCGCATGAGAGTTAATGGGTCTAAGTTTACGAGGTTTTAGGAGTGTTGAGGGGCCTTAATTCTTGGCGATATTACTACAAAACCCCGATGCATACTAGTGTCTCGTATCTAGATAACTGAGGCCCTTGGTATCTTCAATCGGAGCCAGCGCAAAGTGCGAATCTCGCTGCCTAGTTTCTGATACAAATCTTTCAAGTTCGCTTCCGATACCTGTTCCTTCCTCTTGAATACTAGTGTGCATTTTGTGTAGCGCGGCCGAACGAGTAATAGTGGCATATACTAGAAACACACGAACATCAGCTTCAAACTTCGGATACAATTTTCCAACCGCACTCAGGAGAGACATGGCCAGTCACAAATATTCTAAATCTATGGCAGAGGACCTCCGAACTGTTGGAAATTATTCTTTTCACTGGACCAAAGAACACACTACTAAAGAAAAGACTGATCCCCTTCGCTTCGAGCACGATGAGCTGGGTGCCGCTACTGTCAACATCATCCAAAAGATCCACCAGCGCAAGCAGGAAGCCCAAAAGCAACGGGGAGAACAGATAGAACGACTCGACATGTCGCGACACTCAAAGCCAACCGGCATCATAATGAGACACTCGAGGAATTCTGGACACAGGTCAACACAGTGCCCGATTGGGTCAACTGGGAGCAGCTTGAACGTGTGCAGCGCTTTTTCTATCGCTACGCATTGGGAAGCATCATTGGCTTCGCGCTCCAGGGATTTGTTGGCGAGAACTCGGCTTCAACAAGTGTAGTTGAGGTGTTGCTGAGAACAGGCGGCTTCAGTACGCGATCGTTACGAAGGCGGCTGTTGGAGACGTTCCAGCTCGTGCTCGAGGTGACACATTCATTGGGTTTCATCAAACCTGGCGGCAAAGGTCACGAGACTACAATACGTGTGCGTTTGTTGCACTCGATGGTCCAACAGCGTATGCTACGTGTGGCTGAGGTCAAAGGCCCCTCTTACTATGACACTAGCATCCACGGCGTACCCATGAACACGCTTGACTCGATCCATGCCCTCGCCACTTTCAGTTGTAACCACGCTTGGCAGCAGTTGCCGCATATGGGCGTCCGCCCACCTCAACAAGAGGTCGACGACTACATTGCGCTTTGGAGATATGTCGGTCACGTCATCGGCACCCCCACCGACTTCTTTGCAACGACATCTCAGGCTAAGGCTATCATGGAGTCTCTGAGCTACAACGAGCTGCACATCACGCCATCATCACTCGTCGTCGGACACAACTTCGTCGAGGCCCTCAAAGACCTTCCACCCGTCAACATATCAGCTGGCTTTATTGAAGCTGGCAGCCGCCGCCTGAACGGGGATGACATCTGTGATCAGCTGGGCATGGGTCGCCCAGGTTGGTATCATTACGCTTGTTTCAATGGTCACTGCTGGCTTGTAGTTGCCCTCGCGACTGCCCAGCACTGGATCCCATCATTTGAGGCTTGGTCTATCCAGTTCTGCCGCGAGGTCTTGCATAACTCCATTATTCACTCCAAGTATGGTCTCAAGGGCGGCTCTTTGCTCGATTTCAAGTACGTTCCAGATGGTCGAATTACAGGGTGTGAGAAGAACGATCGCCTTGACGGTGATCATATGTGGTTTTACGAGCGCCCACTTGAGCTACTCTACTTTATCGTTTTCTGTGGTGGATGCCTCGCCATGATCGGCAGCGCAAGCATCGCGGCCTGTCTTTTGCTGGGGTTTGTGCCCTATAGTGTGGCTCTTCTAGGCATGAAATAAGATAAGTAAGCGAAGGTGAACCATGGATAAAGCCTATAATGTAAGCTTAATTCTATGGCTTCCACGGTACTATGGATGCTACTGTGGGCTTCCTTAACAGCAGCTTCTGCTTATGCATTATGTAATACCTGTTGGCTGTTACGAACTCAACTGAGTGTAGCAGGCTAGTGCCTGGGTTGGGAGTCTTGGTTGATGAGCCTCGGAAGTTGGCAGGAAAGATGCCAGAGTTGGCCAAGATTCTCCTAGCTAGTCTGTAGATTCGATGTGTCTGAAGTGTATGGCGAAAGTTTCAGCCACTTGTTTCCAATGAATAAAGAACAACTACAAAGAAGGCACTTCTACGGGAGAGATTAGGGAAAAGAACATGAACATTACGTGAACAAGATATTTGAGATATTGGTGGAGTGGTTACGACAGCCCAAGACCTTGACACTATGTTCTTACTAAGCCTACATCCTCCCATGCAAGGCATAACGAGATACCTTCTATCAGCAAACAGAGTTGATGAACCTAAACAGTGTATATCCAGGAGTCCAAGGCGTCCAAGCTTCTGGAATGATAAATGAAGGTATGTTGAGCCAATGTCTACATTTATTGGGGCGATAGATGCGACTTAGAAAAGCGTTTGCTCACGTTGAAATTCTACATAGCTTTCTTGTGATGACGACCTTGTAGTCCCTACACCACTGGTCCTGGGGGTCGGTATAAGATAGGCTGCGCTTCATTATGGGGAGAGTTGGCGGTCGTTGGTTGGTGGTGGGAGCTCGAAACCGACGAGAGTGGCGAAACCTCGGCCTGGGCTTGCGACACAGATCTTTCTCAATTAAGTAAGTGTACCGCTATAGACAATGGGGTTGGCGCGCGATGGAGAATCTCCCATACGTGGGATCTGGGAACTTCTATCTCCGGAGGCTATCCATCTTGGAACAGTTTCTTAGAAGCTTTTACTCTTTCTGAATATCTCATGGAGGTCTTCTCACTCGATGCTATTCTAAGGGCAGGCAATCTGCTCGTCGTGAGTGGGGCCGAGATGGTTCCGAACGGCCTATGACTCGCATGGCAACCATCGGTGCGCCGTGAAGCTCCTCGGTTCTACACAGTCATGCGGCAACAATTGTGTCTACGACATTCGCATTCACGCAGGTACACTAGTCAATGCGAAAACATTTAGCTGATCCCAGAAAGACCTTCGTACTATACGAGACTGTAGGACTCGTGAAAACAACCTTGGAACCGAGAATGACGGCTCTATTTCAAGGTTTCTTCAACGAGCATCTGCTTTCCGAGGTTATACCTCAGCCAAACGTACACAACATCGAAGACGGTGAGCTTCAGCACGGGCTCTGCATACATTGCAGCGAAAGGCCGTGTGCCAAGCGACTTCATCCGTAGGTGTACTTGGCACAAGTACCACGTCTGTTTTATCTTCACGATTCTCGTTCGACATGCGGCTATAGTCAAATACTGCTACATACCAGTGTAGTGTGTTGACGTTGATGTCTAGTACTGGCTCAGCCACAGTAGAATGGAATGTTGGGGTGGCAATGTTACCCTGGAAAACGCTAGTGACAAGCATGAACCAGGTCGGGCAATAAGGGGCACTAAGCTAGCTGACCGGGATGTTGATCACCCGGGGATGTTGATCACTCACAAATCTCAGCACTCCCACACAAAACACGTGTTATCTCTCCACGTACTCAACCAAAATGGGCGACCGTGAAGCAGCTATACAAGCAGCTATCAGCGATATCGATGCTGGTGTTTTTCTAAGTCAGAGGGCGGCTGCAAAGGCGTACAACATCCCGCAATCTACAATCTCAACGCGCATACGCGGCAGACAAAGCAACCAAGCCAGCCACGTATACCAGCAGCGGTTAACTCCAGAGCAGGAGGACTTCCTCGTACAATGGATACTCGAAGAAGACGCACGAGCTTTTCCTCCCTCCCATGCACGCGCACGAGAAATGGCGAACCGAATCCTCCGGATGAACGGAGACCACAGACCCGTAGGCAAGCATTGGATGGCTGCCTTCCTCAAGCGTAACCCACGCGTCGCATCTGTTGTAGGTCGAAAGATTGAGGCAGCTCGAGCTGAGGGAGCAACCCCAGCACAGATACGCGCGTTCCTGGAGCTCTTTGAGAGGACTCGTACGAGGCTAGGCATAAGGGCTGAGGATATATGGAATATGGATGAGACTGGGAAGGCCTTAGGTGTATGTGCCAACACCAGAGTGCTCGCATCTAGTCAGAAGAAGAAGGCTTACCATCAGTCCCCAGAGAACCGCGAGTGGGCATCAATAATCGAGTGCGTGTCGGCTACGGGCAAGAAACTGCGCTGCGGGGTGATATTCAAGGGCAAGAACCTACAGAGTACTTGGTTTCCTGCGATAATACCTGACTGGCTTTACACAACCTCTAATAACGGCTGGACATCAAATGCGATAGGCCTCGAATGGCTGCAACGGGTATTTCTGCCTGAAACGGCTCCATCAGACGATCGTTGGAGGATGCTAATTCTAGACGGCCACGGCAGCCACATTGATCTGGAATTCCTGTGGACCTGCAAGCAGAATAAAGTTCAGCTTCTATTTCTACCTGCACACTCATCTCATGTATTGCAGCCACTAGATCTCTCAGTTTTCTCAGTAGTGAAGAGATTCTACCGAAACCAGATCCAGGAACTATCGCATCTAGATGACGCCGCGCCTGTTAAAAAAGAACGCTTTATTACAGCCTACTATA